TCTTATATTTATATACTCTTTATCTATCTACGTGTGCAGTTGTGACAAAAGAATTTCCCTTCGGGGATCAATAAAGTATTTCTGATTTCTGATATAGAGCAAACACTGCCGTTCAGTTGCTTGTTAAAGGGGCATTATGTAGTTTCCAGCGGCCACTAGTGGTGCGGTTCTAAGATTGCAACCGGGAGTGTGCTCGTACGCGTGCTTGTACGCGTGCTCACTTGAGCTCATGAGCAAGCATAATCCGAAACACAACCGCTTTCAGACCGAGATCCCACAATCAACGATCATCAATTTATATCCCACCTATAGAATCTCCGTAGTATGATGAAGAAATAATTAGCGTTCTCCTCACAGATATCACCCACTGTCAAGCCCAGGGAAATGTGTAAATATGTGGAGACCTGAATGCAAGAACTGGTGCTGAACCTGATATGGTAGACCCGCAAGGTAATAACCAGGTGTTTGTGAAAGCTTAGTGTATTCATAACGAGGCAGAGTCGGTGGTTATAATGTGTTATGGAACACGGTCGGAGATTCTTGCCGCATATTGACATAAACTGGTATTACTGTTCATAGTGTCTTATTGACGCATGTGTTATAAATATATGCATAAGTCATTATAGCGATGACCTTCATAGAAAGTGTTACCGCATGAATCATAGCACACGTCCTCAAAAGGTAGAACATTTTGATATCTGCAGATGTGTAGTGAAATGGATGCAGAAGCATTAAAAATTGAGTTGAGAGAGGGAGACAGAAACAGAGAGAGAGTCTTTTAGGCTATAGAGAGATTTATAGATAGACTACTGTCTTTCCACCTCATATCCCCTCAGTAATGACGGCCTGAATTAGGCTGTATGGGATATTAACAACATATTGGACAATGTGGCTGAAAAGGTCTCCGCACCGGAGATCAAAAAAGTCAGCCAATGAAAAGTGGTTTGATTCAATTCAATTTTATTGATATAGCGCCAACAGTTATCTCATAGCGCTTTTCACATAGAGCAGGTCTAGACCGTACTCTGTGATGTTATTTACAGAGACCCAACAATTCCCACCAAGAGCAGCACTAGGCGACAGAGGCAAGGAAAAACTTCCTTTAATTTTATATCTTTTGAAATTCTATTGGTATACCTTATTATACCGATATACCGCCCAGCCCTAAGACAGACACAGAGAGAAAGATGGTGTGAAGTTTGGGGTCATAACTGCTACAGATGAGAGAAGCATTACTTTGAGACCCAACATGAAGAATTCTGCAGAAAGATCCTAAACATTCAAAGACAGACTCCTATGTGTGCATGTAGAATGCAGAATTAGGGCGGTTTCCAGTGATAATGGATACTCAAAAAAGAGGACTAAATTTCCTGATGCACCTCAGATCAAGTTCCCAAGATTCCCTCCAATTCAAAGTTCTTAAAACACAAGAGCTGAACGCTGAAGATAGTCCTTTATGCCAGCTTGTCCTGACACAAACAAATCCTGCAACACAAACTACATTGTTATCTGGCCCTAAACAGAGATTGTTATTACTATCAGAAATATCAAGCAGAGGCAACTACTTACCGAGTACAGACTCAGTGACCATACACACTGTATGTGAACACTGTACGACAGGTGAGGTGGAGACGGATTTACTCATCAAATGTGATGACTATAGAAGCATAAGAGAGCAATATTTTGAGAAATTCCATCTAATAATACCAGATTTCAGAGAACTTCAAAATGACAATAAATTAAGAATAATTCTAGGAGAAGGACAAAGTATGTTGTCTGTGTCACAACCTGAGGGACAGCGAGTGACTCGGGAAAGTGCTGCACTTAATGTTCGCTGCATGGGAGGTTAAATCTTGTTCATTCCTGTTTAACCCTAGTTTAACGTTCTATCTGTATTCGTTATTTTTGTGTTTGTAACTTGTAAAATATTTTGTTGATTTTGTTGCAAACTGCTTTGGCAACTTTGTTTAACTGAAGCATTCATGCCAATAAATCACACTGAACTGAACTGAAAGAGAGGAACAGAGCGAGGCGGTCAGACAGAAAGTGAAACAGAGACAGTGATAAAGACATAGGCAGGCATCAGACAACAGAGACAGATAGACAGGAAGACAGTGAGACAGAGAGAGGGGGAAATAGAGAGACAGAAAGAGAGAGGGAGGGAAAGAGGGTGAGAGACAGACGAGGAAGAGTGAGAAAGAGAGGAAGTGCGTGCATGCGGGTATGTGTGTGTACATGACTGCTGGGATATTTATCCATATGTGATCCTGCTCTGTGGAATAGTTTAAAGGTCCATGATTTGCAGGCTGTGTATATAGCTGATGATACACAGAGCAACTTTTAGAGCAATGTTGCCGTCAGTGATAATAAAAATTACCATAACATTACCAACATCCCCCACACCATTACTACCATAATCCCTGCTGCCCCGCCCCGCCGCTATCCATTCAAAACATAGTCAGACTTGCCAACAGCAAGATTGCCCAGCAACATAGCTCAAAAAGTTGTCCCGTGTATCATCAGCTTATGACTGAGCACAGGCGTCGCCAGGATGCAGGCAAAAAAACGGCTCTGTATGACAGCATTAAGAGCCAGTAGTAGAGCTGTGGGCATGTTTAACATGAACATCTGACACTGCAACATTATAGAAAATATAAAAAGCATAATGAGTCTCCTTTAATGTGTGTGTGTGTGTGTGTGTGTGTGTGTGTGTGTGTGTGTGTAGCTGTCAGTGTATATGTGTGTCTATATGTGTTCAGGGAAGAGGACACAGACAGGTGTTCAGAAAATAGCTTAACTTCAGTCCACCAATCAGAACAGAGGACCCAGTCCTTTGATTTTTCTAATTTACATCACCAAGGTAACCAGTTCTACCATAGAGATATATATATATAAAATCCCTCTGAAGATTTTTGTCAAATAAACCTCAATAAAGACTAAACTATAGGTCGTATCAGTGAAATGAACTGACCAGCAGCAGCAGAACGCATTTGTGAACAAGTTGATATTTTAGTTGAGAGGAGGCAGACTCTGACATGACTTCTGCTTGGTGCTCAAACGCATTCAAAGTGGATGGTGTCACGGACTGGCTCAAAAACCCTGACATAAATAATCACACCGTGTAAACAGGCTGCACCAACGGTACCATTACTTTTATTATACAACAACTCATACATATAATTAACATAACTACTGAAATAAGGCAGTGTAGTGTGGTAGTGAGAGTATGAGCAATAAGTCAGTAGCGTCAGCATGTTTGCATGAATGTAATGATGAGTGCAATGTAGTGTTAAGAAAGAAAGCAAAATAATGAGGAGCAAGGAGTAAAGGGAACTACGTTTCCCTCCTCTCTATCTCCCAACATGCAACAGGTAGGATCTGCTTTATACATATGGAAAACACTGGGCCCCAGGTGGCTCCAATACATGACGACGACACCAGCTACTGACACCTACAACAGAACACACACGAATACTCAGCAACCTGACAGACAAGGACGTCCCGGGGAAGTCACAATGGACAGACATTCATAGCTGCAAGAATATAGGCCTAGTGCTTAATGTGAAAATATCACACATTCTTAATCTGTAGGGTTTAATAAGGAGTTGGCCCACCCTTTGCAGCTCTAACAGATTCAACTTTTCTGGGAAGGCTGTCCAGTGTGTTCAAGGGAATTTTTGACCGTTCTTCTAGAAGTGCATTTGTGAGGTCAGGCACAGATGTTGGACCAGAAGGCCTGGCTCGCAGTCTGCATTCTAATTCATCCCTCTTTGCAGCCCAGTCAAGTTCTCCACACCAAACTCCCAATATCTTCACAGACTATAATTGAGGCAATGTTATGTTCAGCAAACATAAAACATTATGTAACCGGCTGCTCCTCAGAACGTACTGCACGGTCCTGGCTCGAACCAGTGACCTCAGGTACGGGAGGCGGACATGCTGACGAGGAGGCTAAAACCCATGGGCACTAGCGAAGGTCGTCATGTAAATGTAAATGCTCTGTATTTGTATAGTGCCTTTCTTTTCGTCCACTCAAAGCACTTTTACACTACATCTGCATTCACCATTCACACACAGTCATTCATTGAGCCTAATTGCTCAAACAGAAACTAACATTCACACAGTGGAACAGCCACCAGAGGCAATTCGGGGTTCAGTATCTTGCCCAAGGACACTTGGGCAAGAAGCCGGGGATTGAACCGCCGATTAACGGGCAACCCACTCCACCTCCTGAGCCACAGCCTCCCCGCCATTGCGTCTCTTAAGGTGTCGCAGAATGAGGTTTACTCACTGCACAGGCTCGCTGGCGTCTGTCACAATCACATCACACACCTGCTTTTTCATGGTTATTTTAGGCAACTCGAAGCTGACTTCAAGCAGGGCACATGGCGTGTTTACTATTTCAGTATTTTACTCAGACCATTTTCTTTCCCTGTCCCAACCTTAAGCAAAGGTTATAGGTTATTATTTCTTAAACCATCCAGGTGTCTCTTGAAAAAGAGGTTTTAAATCTCAATGAGGTCATCTGGTTAAATAAATATCCATCCATCCATCGTCAACCGCTTATCCTGCATACAGGGTCGCGGGTTAAATAAATATAATAATAAAAAAATTAAAAAACTAGACTCGTGAGACACCAGACACAAATTCCTCAAAGTCCTGCTTCTTTGATGCCAAACATCGACCACCTCCTACTGACCGCTGATAACCCTTCATGGAATGATGAGCATAATCCCAGCTGCAATTATGTTTCCTCCAAAACGTACTAAGTAAAACCATTAAGTGGTTTAGACAGGTCATATTAAGGAGATTGGGTTGACATCAGATCTAATATACTACTGGCTGGATGGAAAGACAATAACTAAGGAAATTTCCATCCAAATTATTTCAGAACCAGAAAATATCATCTCAGTGGTAAAAAGCAAACAATCCGTAACTGCTTGGTGGAAACGCTCACCCCAGTGACATTCAACTGAATGTGCTGTATTATTTTTCTGTAGGACTCTAAGATGGGTTTTGGCATCGCTGTGTCAGGAGGGCGTGACAACCCCAATGTGGAGAATGGAGAAACGTCAATCATCGTGTCAGACGTGCTGCAGGGAGGACCAGCAGATGGATTACTCTTGTAAGTCTATCAGAAATTGACCAAAATCCTCTTCTTCGTTGCCTGCTAGTGACCTTATTAGTCATTACTAGTCACATGTCTGTATAACATACACCTGAGTTAGCTAGCACAGCTCTTTGTCAGAGTTGTCAAGTATACTCTGGTGCTGCATGAGATGTAAACAATTACACAAAGGTCCAAAGTACAGTACTTAGCTCATTATGCCTTAGATTATCTCCACTGACAAACCATAAGTCAATCTAGGGCAAATCATTTGTTTTGAGAGGGGTCCTACTGCAGGCCGGTCAGTTTTTTAAGTCCCCACGGGACGTAACGTAAGGCATTCTCGGTTGTTTCGCTACACATCGCGACAGCGGTAGGTGACTGGTTAGCATTGTCCAAAACATTGAGTAAAGTCTGAATACATTGCTTTTGCTGTATGTTCGCCGTCAATAACTACTGCTGTCAATATTGTACATCTAAATCACACAAATTACAGAATGTTACACGTGTGTAAGTTGTTGTTCTACATAGGCTACGCCAACGGTGGCTAGCGTTAGCTCCTGAATTAGCAGGATTAGCTTTTTTCCCCTTTGGATAATGTAAGCTATTCATACTGCATGAAGCTACTGTGTTCGTTTTTCCTAAAGCATTTTGCAAGGGCATAGGTTTGCATTTATCTTAACATGTTGACGACGCTCAGGTTAGTTATTTGTCCAAAAGAAGATAAATAAAAATCTGAATCGTTTAGACCGTTCGGTGTAGCTTTTCACACTTAACGTCAAACAGTGTGCAAAGACTTTGCTGGCTGTATGAATTGATCTTAGTTGAACTGAAGTTTATGTACTACGACAGTGTTTCCCAACCCTTTCCTGGAGAAAATTACCCCCTGTCCTGAATGATTTTCTCTCTCCCTGCCTCAACACAGCTGATTGAAGCAGCTTCAGGATTCATAACCAGTTGATAGTTTGAATCAGCTGTTTTGGAGCAGTGACATGTTTAACATACGCGGTTAACAATTATCCACGTAAAGATACTAGTCCTCACCACAGCCACTGTTGGCAGATCCTAATTTGCGGGATTTAGATGTACAAATATTGGTAGTGGTAGATATTTTGATGGAACATGCAGAGATCCATGCATTCAGACTTATTAAAAATGTTTTGGATAATGCAAATCAGTCACTGCTGCCAGCTCCTTTTCTAACTGTGTAATCTGTGTGTATACAGTGAATAAAGTAAAGTACTATTACAGTAGGCTGTTGTCTCAATTCATTTTTAAAAAATGGATATTTACAAAATTATCGATACAGGTATACATGTTGTATTGCATGTGTGTTCATTTTTACGGATTGTACAGTATGATAGTCCACATAGTCCAGCAGGGTTCTAGTTACAGTCCATAAGAAGGGTCTGAGCTCTTATTGAAGTGGTAAAATCCTGCATCTGTGGGGGTCACTAATTCATTTACTTACAACCATTATTTTTAATGACAAATGTACAATATATTAATAACATATACACAAACACGTTTTCCAAACGAACTACGCTTGGACTTTGTTGCAGTATCACACACATCTGGGGCAAGTAGTAGGCTGCTGTGTGAGAGAGAAAGTGTTGACCACGTAATGAGCATTGAAGTCTCTGTCCAGGCTTCTATTATTTATTTATTAATCCCCACCGGTAACAATCGTTATACTACAGACTCCCACGAAGCTCAAATTGTAGTCCAGTTTACACAGTTGTCCGTTTTTTCCTGTTAAATTCAGCTGATTGCAGTAAAATGCCATAGTATATTACTCTTCAAAGGGAAATTATGAATGAGTGTGTGTGTTTCTTTTAGGATGACTGGAAGAGAGGCTAAGTTACACTCTTAATCAACGACAATGTTTTACTGTGAATGGATGTGGCTAGCTGTATGGACGGAGTTAACATCAAATTTTGACAGAATAAATAAATAATGCCGTAAAGAGAAAAAAAAAAAAAAAAAAAAAAAAAGATACTGTTACTAGTTACAGTGGGCTTTCTTCCTACATTGGCACGTTAAGTGCCAAGTAGAATAGCTCAATATGCTATATTTAAGGAATTAGCCTGCTAGTTTCCCGTTACAGTGTTGACTAAATAATTAAATATAAATCAATGACAAAAACCCTCCCTCTATGTCTACGTGATTAAACTTTATAATTTTTGAATGCGTTTCCTGTCAAATCGCATGCTTTTATTTTGTAGTTTTTGCGTGTATTTCTTGTCCTGACCGGCCTGACAGTGGAGGTGGCCTGAAAGAGGAGGTCTGCAGTTGGACCGTCTTGTTTGTTGTACAATCAAGAATAGTAGAATTACTTCTAAGTGGCAGCAGGTCTGTATGATCTCATGATGATCATATATTATTTGTATTTTTTACTGTATTTGTGTCTTTTTTTGTCCAGTGAGAATGATCGTGTCATTCAAGTCAACTCCACCCCCATGGACAACGTGCCTCATTCCTTTGCTGTGCAGTCCCTACGTAAATGTGGCAAAGTGGCCAAAATAGTGAGTATGAATCATATGCAAAGAAGACACTGAGTTAAGGCAATCTTTGTGGATGCTCACAGCTCTGCTGGTGTCACACTGGGAAAACATGATGGTTCCACAGGGGGACCTTTGTTGGGACAAATTCTGTTATTGTACATTTTTAATATCTCACCAGCAGGGTTTGGGAGTAACGGATTACATGTAATCACGATACAAAAAACTGTATTCCATTACAGTACAGAAAAACAAGATGCAATCAGTAGTGGGACAACAGTGTGGATTTGTGCATTTTATATAAAATAAATTTGGAGCTACTCCAAATTCCTCTTTTCCTCTCCCAGAGAGGAGCAGGAGGGTTAAAGATCAACTTCAACAGACTGCTGAAAAGACCCCAACGGAAGGAGGGTGGAGAAGTTGCTTTCTCTAAGTGCTAACTCTGATCATAAAACTGGCACCTTTTTGATTCCGAAGCTGATAACGCGGTGCCTGTTAAACTGACAAAAGGGACACTAACCAGCGATTAGCATTTCCCTGAACAGCCTATCAAAACTGCCCCCCCACACACACACATGCACGTAACCGTGGCAACTGACCTTGCTCTGTGTTTCATTACCCCATCAAAGGGATACCCCTTTTGTGTGACATAAAGCAGGACAGCCGAACTTTGAATAAACAAAGACTTCGGTCTCCAAAGACCCAGAGCATTAACTGCTATCTGTTGTTATTAGTGCTGAAAAGAATCTAAATAAGTTACTTATGCAGTGTTTTTATTTTCAGCAAGATTAAGGACACCCCTTCATCACTTGTAACCAATGCTTGTTCACAATACTTTCTCACACAATTCCTTAAATAAAATATAAAGAAAAAGAAATGTTTTACTATACTCTTAATCGCCAGCTTTAATTTAAGGCTGAATAACTAAATTCCCCAGTTCCTAAGGAAAGATTGTTTTGGATTAATCTAAGCTTTCCTCATGTAACCTGAGCTCCCCAAGTGGACGAAATAAGTATTACATACCATCGTCGGAAATGCCGTTAATTTATAAATATCCTGACCAATAATGTTTCCTGTTACCAAATGCTTAACTTAGAACGGTACAACTGTTTGACCGTTGAGGTTTGATTGTGGAAAATATTTTATTATTGTGCAAATAGATTTATTTTCTTTTAGACATTAAAAGTTTAGAAAGGCAGACCTGAAACGCCCTCTGGGGAACCACGTGACGTTGTTCGCTCTCTCTCTGTGCTCTGCTCTTCCCCTCGTGCCCTGGTCTCTGCTCTCTGGACGCTTCGGCAACGCCTCTCCAGGCAACACCCTAAGAGTTCGACCAGCGCAACAGGCCTTTGTTCGCTTGAAGCTACACACGCGAAGTGCCGCAACATCGATTTGCCCTCAGTTCCAGCAACTGTACTTGTTTTATTTTCTTCCTTTCTTTTGTTTTGTTAAAGTTATCAGTACGTTAAGTTACACTGGTCTAATTCAGGAACGACCAAGTTCCCTTTTTAAGCTTTTTCGTCGAGCTAAGCCCACGGATGTCGGACGACGCCACATGTCTAAATTTAAATTTAGACATGTTGCATTTTAAAATGCATAAAAATATTAATATAAAATCAACCATTACCGATATCAGCAATAAAAGTAATAGCATACATTTCCTGAACAGCATGTACATTTTGAAGTTGCAACGAAGTTTCTTGTACAAATGGTGGGGAGAAGATAGTTGCAGAAGAAATGGTGAAATAAAGAATAATGAGCAAAGATAAAAGTGTGATAGTTACAGCTCACACCAAATATATAAGAAAGAGCGAAAAGTGTGAAAGCTGTAACTCTCACACTTTTCGCTTGGAGGAGGACTCTGTCTCTACATAAATGAAGGTTGGTGCACAGATGTCACAGTGTTGAAGAAATCATGCAGGCCTCAGGCCTGTGTTAGTGAGGCGTTAATACACCTGGCCGACCAGATAACCAACGTGGAGAAAAAACATCCAGACTCCCTGCTCATTGTTCTTGGGGACTTTAACAGAGCAAACCTCAGCCACGAACTTCCAAAGTACAGACAGCATATTAAGTGTCCCACCAGGGACACACTGGACCACTGCTCCACAGCATTAAAGGACGCCTTTCGCTCTGTCACCCGTGTGGCCATAGGACTCTCTGATCACTGTCTGGTTCATCTTCTCCCGACACACAGGCAAAAACTGAAATCTGCTAAACTTGTTGTAAAGTCTGTGAAAAGATGGACCGAGTCAAAGCTGGAGTTACAGGCCTGCTTTGACTGCACTGACTGGAGTGTTTTTGAGGCTGCAGCCACTGACCTGGACAAACTAACGGACACTGTGACATCTTATGTCAGTTTTTGTGAGGACTTCCACACATACAACAACCAAAAACCCTGGTTCACAGCGAAACTCAGGCAGCTTCGTCAGACCAAGGAGGAGGCCTTCAGAAGTGGAGAGTCTTGTACAACCAGGCCGGGAACACAATGACTAAAGAGGTCAAAGCAGCAAAGAGGAGCTACACTGAAAAGCTAATTAACAGCTTTGCATCCAGCGATCCTGCGTCAGTGTGGAGAGGCCTGCAGACACTCACTAACTACAGTAGACCATCCCCCAACACTGCTGGTTTTTACTCTAGGTTTGAGAAGCCCACAGTCACACCTCTCCCCCGCTCCAGTTTCCCCCTCTGACACACTGTCACCCCACCCTCCCTGACCCCTCATCTGCACTTGTGATCTGTGAAGAGGACGTGAGCCACCTCTTCCAAAGGTAGAAGATCAGGAAGGCTCCTGGTCCAGATGGTGTGTCTCCATCCTGCCCAAAATCTACGCGGACCAGCTGGCCCCCATCTTCACTCAGATCTTCAACAGATCACTGGGGCTGTGTGAAGTTCCCTCCTGCTTCAAATGCTCCACAGTCACCCGGTCCCCAAAAACCCCTCCATCTCTGGACTAAATGACTACAGGCCCGTCGCCCTGACATCTGTAGTAACCTGGACTATCAGCACTGGTGCCCCCCAGGGGCGTGTGCTGTCCCCACTGCTCTTCTCCCTCTACACCAACGACTGCACCTCAGGAGACCCATCTGTCAAACTCCTGAAGTTCGCTGACGACACAACGGTCATCGACCTCATCTGGGACGGTGACGAGTCGGCCTACAGACGGGAGGTTGACCAGCTGGCTCTCTGGTGTGCTCAGAACAACCTGGAGCTTAACACGCTCAAAACTGTGAAGATGACCGTGGACTTCAGGAGGAGCCAACCACTCTACCATACTCAACAGCCCTGTGTCTGCTGTGGAATCCTTCAGGTTTCTGGGATCCGCTATTTGATTTGATTTGAAATCAAATTAAAATTTATTTCGGGTTTTCAAATCAAATGTATCCCAGGACCTGAAGTGGGAGCCCAACACAGACACCATCATCAACAAGTCTTCCTGCGTCAGCTCAGGAAGCTCAACCTGCCTAAGGAGCTGCTGATCCACTTCTACACAGCCATTATCCAGTCTGTCCTGCACGTGCAGAGGACAGGAGCAGACTACAACGGTCAGTCAGGACTGCAGAAAAGATCATTGGTGCCAACTTGCCCTCCATTCAGGACAGAGCCCTATACGCCAAAACCAACAGACTCAGGAACAGTTTCTTCCCACAAACCATCACTCTGATGAACAGCTGATTTCTGACTCACGGTGTCAGGAACAATTCCTGTGCAATAACCCAGTAACTCTGCCTCTAATCAGCCACCTATTTACTGGTTTCCACTTATTATTTATTCACCATTCTCTATTTGCATGAGAAGCGAACAACTTCCTGTTTCATGGCGCAGCATGGTACTTTGCTGCCATGCCAAGCACACACCTTTGAAGGAAAACCCAGAAGCTTTACAGCATAACATCATCTACGTGTGACTTAGTTTATCTAGAGATAGTTTTGCAGTAGATATGGCCATCCTGCGAAATGTGGTTCATCACAACATAGAACTGTTGCCAGTAGGTGGCGCTGTGACCATGAGTATGAGCTTGTAGATGTGTTCAGTGTGGGATGTTTATCAGTGAAGATACAACAACGTCCTTTGTCTTGGCAAAGCGTGAACCTTTTTTGCCACAGGAACACTGTTTTCTGAAAACTCACAAGCTTCACAAAATGGCATCATCACTGTGTTAAGGCTTTTCTGGGACAGTTTTGGAGTTGATGTAGCATGGCACTATGACTTTGAGTGAATGTTGGCATATGGATGTGTTCAAGGTGTATCACACCTGTAGTGAATCATTGATTTTCCACTGCACGCCACGGGCATCCCCAGTTGACCAAAACTCACCATTTGTACAACATATCATCGATTGGATAACACTGCACAGCAAAATTTGAAGTCACACGGACTAATTCTCTAGGAGGAGTTCATTAAAGTGCGGAGTGTGTAAAACGTCCACTCCAAAATGGCCAATTTCCTCTTGGTTGTTGACCCACCTGGCGTGTGTGCAAGGTTTTGTAAGTTTTCGAGAACATTTGAGAGCCACAGCTCTTACACTAAAGAGCGACAACAACAAAAGTGTGGGAGCTGTGGCCATAGAAATGATTCTGCACAGAATTAAGTTGATCTAGATATTGTTTTGCTAAAAAGTTTCTTGTAAATACAAAATATCTGCTTCTCCAGGAGCCTGTCCTAAACGCAACCCACGCAAGTTATATGACACAAATCATGTTTATTTCTCGCACAATAAAAAAAAAGTACAAAGATCCCTTCTGGCCAAAGCTGTGGGTCATACATTTTGCCCACATCATTGCACTCAGCTGGAACCTTGAAGGAGCTGAACTGACATTAATGAGCTTTCTGTTTTTTCTTTCTCTGTCAGACGGTGAAGAGACCTCGGAAGATGGTGCTCTCAATGAAGCAGTCCCCATCCCCAGGTGGAGACAGTCGGGAATACTCCCCTTCCACCCACTACTATGATGCCGACAATGATGATGGATGGTACCGTAATGAAGGCAGGGACCACACCACTGACAGCAAAGGATACCTGGATCCTGAGTACAGGGGAGGGCGGGACTACAACCACAGGGGAAGGAGCCGCGGGAGAAGCCTGGAGAGAACCTCGCCCAGCACAGACAGAGCCAGGAGGGAGGGCAGCCGGGGACGAGCTCTGGAAACCAGTGGCGACCGTCAGAGGTACCACAGCCGAGGACGCAGTCCCGGGGAAAGTTCCAAAATGGAGGACAACTTTGAGCGAGGAGGAGGAGGAAGAGGAGAAAGGTATAAGAGCAGGGACCAGATTAATGACAACCCTCCATCCCCAGAACCTTCCAAAGAGCTGGAGCCGCTGGAGAAACCTGTAAATGTCCTGCTGGTGAAGAACAGACCCAGCGAAGGTAAAATACACCAGCTACCTACCATAGCTGCTCATTTAACTAACTAAGAGGTTGTAGGGCTACATGAATGTGGATAAAATGAGAATCACAATGTTTTCTTTGAGAATTGAGACACTGATTGTCCTTCGTTTTAAAATTCTTTTCTCTTTCTCGTTTTAAAAACCTTTTTCTCTTGATGCCCACAGAAACACAACAATCATTATTATGTTTGTTTTGTTTTTCTAAGAGCATCTATAAATGTTAAATTGACACCTGTTTAAACATAGGCTTCACTAGGATAGGATTTATAGCATGGATGTAGCATTAGATTGTACAAAGCTTTTGATTTTCTTGTCAATCAGTGTTTGGATTGACAAGAAAATTGTCCCTGCCACCTTCCAACGGCTGATTGGTATAGTTCTGTCGGGTGTCAACGATTGTGAAGCATTTCTGGATGATATTGTAGTCTTTTCTTCCACTTGGTCTAATCACCTAGACACTCTGCAGGAAGTATTTTGTCGCCTGGAGAGGGCTTCCTTGACCCTTAATCTGGTGAAATGTGAGTTTGGAAAGGCGGTGGTCACCTATTTAGGGAAACAAGTGGGGCAGGGGCAGGTGCGCCCCCTGGTGGTTAAAGTTCAGGCCATTCTGGATTTTCCCGTTCCAGAAACTCGGAGGCAGCTCCGTCGGTTCTTGGGAATGTGTGGTTATTATCCTGGATTCTGCAAAACTTTTGCTAGTGTTGTTGTGTCACTCGTTGATTTGTCCAGCCCGTCTCGCCCTTTTGTTTGGGATGCTGTGTGTCAAGACTCATTTGTTTCTGCGAAAGCTCTCTTGTGCAGTGCCCCTGTGTTGGCTGCCCTTTTAAGTTGGAGGTGGATGCTTTTGCAGGAGGATGACTGTGGTGTTGATCATCCTGTGTGCTGTTTTTCTAAGAAATTTGGCAAATGTCAGGTGAAAATATATCACAATTCAGAAGGAAGCGCTTGCACTACTGTGGGCGTTGCAGCATTTTGAAGTTTATGTTGGTTCGACTGCAAGCCCTGTTCTGGTCTTTACAAACCACAATCCCCTAGTGTTTCTGTCCTGTATGCGCAACAACAATCACCATCTGATGCGTTGGTCATTGTTGTTGCAGGATTTTAATATTGAGATTCACCACATAAAGGGGTCAGACAATGTTGTGGCTGATGCGTTATCTCGGGTGGGAGTCTAAGGAATCGAACATGATGGTTCTTTAGGGGGAAGAAATGTCCGATCTCAAGTGAGGGGGTGTTATGACCTGGAGTCATATTGGTTTGGATGTGAGTCTCAATGATGTGTATTTCTGCCTGCTGTTATCTGCCTGCTGTTACCCTCCCTACCCGAGGGAGGAGCTGTTTTGTTTGTCTGTGTTACAGATGGTGGAGAGCGGATTGGGCTGGAGGATTTCCTGTATAAAGGGACCTGTGTGGAGGCCGCGCGCTCTCTCCTCCCTTTCCCCTACCTCCCCAGCCAGGCGGGGTGTTCTGGTGTATTATAGCCTACCCTTTGTTGTATTTCACCCATGTGCTGGAAGTTAGTGGTGTACTGTTGGGAAACAGTAGGAGAGAGCTGCCATTTATTTTGAATATTGTTTTCTCCTGTTTTCTGGCCAGGTAGTCTTAGTATTAAAGTATTAAAAAGTATTTGTTCTTTCCTTTTTTATTTTTCTTTGTTGTAGGATAAATTATTGGGATGGGCAAAGGTGGTTTTGTTTCTCCCTCTCCCTGATGTCTTGGTCTTCTATACCATCTGTGAATAAGTCTAACATTAACCGTCAGAATATCCCGTAGCCTTTTGATGATTTATGGGGAGTGGGGAAAAGAGAGGAGACATCGTGTTGCGCTCAGGCCTCCCCTAGGCCGGGCGTAACAGAAGTGAAATTAGACTCAAACTCGACAGAAATGTGTATTGCATGATCTACAAATGTAAAATCAGATTTACACCTGTATAACGATTTGGGCATAATTTTGGGTGCGTTCAGTCCACACACAAATACCAAGCAATTTAAACACTTTTACAAATAATCACCTCACAACCTGAATAAATATTTTATGTACTGGTTTTAACTCCAGCCTCACAGATCTGATCATTTTCGCTTCCTACAAATAAGACTTGTGACATTCTTGTGTATTTCTTTACAGATTGTTAAATTGTGCATCTCCTGATAAGCATCGATCAGGTTGCATTTTTCGTGTGGAGATGTGAGACTCTTCATGGTCTTTAGCTCCACCCAGATCCACAAAGGCTGGGGGAAAACTGGGCCTAAAAAATTGGCCATAATTTGTACTATAACAGTTAATACACTCAAATACTGGCATACTGTCAGTAAGAAAAACACAAATGTCAGTATTTACAGATTAAAGACAATTGTTCATAGAGGGCTGACTGAAATAACGTGTGAAGGCGAAAGCACTTTGACCGGCCAGAAGATGCTCTAATCATGTTCTTCTGTGTTCTGGTGTACTGGTAGAAATTCTGAACAGCACTGCATTCACCTCCTGTTCTGTCTGGAAATGCCAAAATAAAATATCTTCAGTCAGTTCCAGCAGGGCTTTGCAGTAATGCTGGTGTATTGTATGTTTTTGTATTTTTGTAGAGTATGGTCTACGTCTGGGAAGTCAGATCTTCATCAAACAGATGACCAGCACAGGCCTGGCTGCCAAGGACGGGCACCTGCAGGAGGGTGACATTATTCTTAAGGTGCACACACATTCATTCCCAGTGCAGTCACACTGTCACATCCATCACCGGCCATAGGCCATGTAGCACATTGGTTCCAAACCTGGGGTCTAGGGACCCGCTAAGAGATCACTAGATAACGTGAAAGAATAAAATGTTTTACATTCATGTAAAGTAACGTGTTTCTTCTTTCACTGCTCTAGTTTTTGCTCATTTTTCTTGTGAAATACTGGATACTGGGGCTCCGTCTCTTCTGCAACCCTGGGTCGTCAGTGTGCATGTGTAGGTGTAGCGTGTAAGTGTGCACGCTATGCCTACACATGTGCACTGACAACCCAGGGTTAGGGTTACAATTTAGGATTTATTCACGCACTTTAAAAACATTTATTGAAAGTTTTAGTCTTTTTACATGTTTATTTACAGTATTAAACGTTAAAATGGATATTGTAATAGGCTGTATATCAACGTATTGGGAGAAAAGTGGTAGTTCTTTGTAAAATCAGATGTTGAGCACCCCCATATCGCCAAAATGGTATGATCCTTGTTTCACTGCGGAGCTTCGACTCTAAGATTTACAGTGAAATCAGGCTCCGCCCAGCAAAGCATCGAATCTTTGACTAATTGTGGTCAGCCCTATGTGAAAGTACACCTTTTTAATTTTTAACTAACTAAACAGCCTCATTGTGTTCAGGTTTTTCCTGGCCAAAACAGGTGGCAACAACTATGATTTAAGTATCTCATAAAAGGGAGTACAGCCCTCACATTGTTGTAAATAATGTAAAGAAATTTTTTGAAAATGTCCAAATGGGGCCCAATTAGCCATTTTCCCTCCCCGCTGTCATGTGACTCGTTAGTGTTCCAAGGTCTCAGGTGTGAATGTGGAGCAGGTGTGTTAAATTTGGTGTTCTCGCTCTCACACTCCCTCAACATGGTTGCTCTACATAAAGATGGCTGAGGCTATAAGAAGACCGCCAAGACCCTGAAACTGAGCTGCAGCCATACAGCGGTTCAAGAGGACAGGTTCCACTCAGAACAGGCCCCCCAGAAGGAAGCCTCTTCTAAATATGATGCACAAGAAAGCAAACAGTTTGCTGAAGACAAGCAGACTGAGGACATGGATTACTTAAGATAAACTTATTTGGTTCAGATGGTGTCAAGCGTGTGTGGCGGCAACCAGGTGAGGAGCACAAAGACAAGTGTGTCTTGCCTACAGTGTCCTGGTCTGGGGCTCTATGGGGGCCGCCAGCACTGGGGAGCTACAGCTCACTGAGGGAACCATGAATGCCAACATGTACTGTGACATACTGAAGCAGAGCAGGATCCCCTCCCTTCAAACACTGGGCCGCAGGGCAGCATTCCAACATGAAAACGACCCCAAACACACCTCCAAGACGACCACGAAGGTGGTGGACTGGCCAAGCATGTCTCCAGACCTGAACCCTACTGAGCACTCTGGTGAACTCCATGCCCAAGAGGGTTAAGGCAGTGCTGTGAAATAATGGTGGCCACACAAAATAGTGACACTGTGGGCCCAATTTGGACATTTTCACTTAGAGGTGTCCTTACTTGCCAGCGGTTTAGACATCAATGGCTGTGTGATGTGTTATTTTGAGGGGACAGCAGATTTATAGATTAGATATAGATATAGATTACAGATTTATACAAGCTGTACACTCACACTTTACATTGTAGCAAAGTGTTATTTCTTCAGTCACATGAAAAGATAGAATAAAATATTTACAAAAATATGAGGAGTGTACTCACCAGGGTACCCGCAGGGTCTTAAAAGTATTTAAAAAGTTAAATAAGTTCTTAAAAGTATTAAATTTCACTTACAAAGATCTTAAATTTTTTCTTGTTCTTTCATAGGATTAAATAAATGCCCTCAGTGGGACTTTACAATTGACTCCGTTTGGTGTGACTCTGATGTTATACGGCAGTACAGGTAACGTTACTGTTAACGTCCGTGTTTAGCTTTATGCTCTGGACTGTGGAGTGTTCGTGGTGCACGAGCTCTGCCATCCAAGCTCGAGTTGTTAATAAAGAAAACAAAACGTCTCTGACGTGCTACTAACAAGCTAACGTTAGCTCGTCGACTCAGAATGGGCAAGTGTCTGAAGTTCAGAAAGCCAGAGACACGGACAAGTGGCGGTTGAGGCTGAGGACGGTGGCACAACAAGCGGATCGGTGTGCGAGTCAGTCACACTATGAAACTCATAGTGATGAAACAGTATAGCTGGAAGACCTGCAGGTTACTGGTCAGCGAATGTTACAACAGCAACGGAGAGACAGTTGTGTATGAGATGAGGACCGTGCTGTGTGTCGGCGTTGTGTCACTGTTGTAGGGTAACGTTACGTGAACGGAAACATCCAACATGCTAACGCACTTTAAAGATACCAGCCAAACTCCTTGTCCCCGCTGCTTTCAAGCCAGTACTATATAATAATATATTTCAAGCAGCCTTTAGATGGAAAAACAGAACAGGATGATTAATCACTGAAGAAATTGCCATTTACATTGGCATACTACATTACATTACATATCTTATCTAGCCAAGGTGTAACTAATTGTAACAAATCACACTGCACAAATATTTTATTCATTTCATAGGTGTCATTTACACAGGGGACGCTGGGGACATGTCTCCATCACTTTTTAACAAGCATTTCTTAAACTATGTTCTGAAAAATGGCTTACAGCAAGAAATGTCAAAATACAAATGAAAATGCTTTGACAAAGGTTTATTTGCACAATAAGAAAACATGCACTGCAATCTAAATATCTATGTCCAAAAAATGTTCCTTAAGCAAAAAATAAAAAAACAAGTTTGAATTGTCACCTGAATCACTTTATATAAATCAAGACAATTCTACCATAAATTGGTGCAGAAAATGTCTCCAGAATGCAGGAGTGTTAAGTGATGTCAAAATTTTCTAGGGGACCCCCATTTAAATATATTTCAGCATTGAATATTTCATCAAAATAGTGTTAAAATATCTTCTTGTCTTGGGCTTGTGAACCCAATATTGTGAATCGTGCATGTGAGCTAAGTGTATCATCACACCGCTAATTTGAACCCCTATGTCCCCGCCACTTTTCAACACAAAGGGACGTCCCCAAAAAGCTATAGTGTGTTAAATATTAATGTATTTTAATAAAATGTTTTATTAAATTCATATAACTTTGTAAATAATTTCATCCTAGGTGGTATTAAAAAGTTCTTCAAAGTCCTAAATTTAACTTGGAGAATCCTGGGGCTACCCTGACTCACTTTTATGAGATACTATACATAAAACACATAACACAATAAACTGTGTGTCACAAAATGTTTCAAATTGACAGCAACATTATATAAATGTAAGCTCTATACAGATCTGTTTGTGCTGTGCGTGTGCAGATCAATGGGACAGTGACAGAGAACCTGTCTCTGCATGATGCCGGGAAACTGATAGAGAAGTCGAGAGGGAAGCTACAGCTGGTGGTCCTCAGAGACCGCCGCCAGATCCTTGTGCGAATCCCCCCCCTCGCAGACTCTGACTCTGATAATGACGGTGAGTCACTGAAAGCATGGCCTAGCCAACAGGTTAGGTAAACCATAAGGACTTTTGTAGTCGCTGCATGAAAAGTGGGATTTTTTTCGGCACGTTAAATTGCCGTGGAAGTTCAGGTTAACATCCGCTCACAGGAATTTTTGGCCAGCACAGAAAGATGTCTGGAACTGCTGGGAATTGACATGGATTTTGTTTGTCACTGTTGCCCCCAATGATTCTCCTTATCCTCGTACTACTGCTTCCATTAGCTGAGATCTCCGGAGACCATTGATGTCAAAAATGTTCTTCCAAATTTAATCAAATCAATGTCATAACTAATGTATGACCTCCATACCACAGTGTCTATGGGCATTATTTCAATCATGTTTACATTTACAAAAGTTCAAAATGAATGCATTCACTGAAAATAACATGTAAAACTAAGCAGTCTTGAGTTTGTGCTTGCAGCTGCTCACTCAAAAAGAGAGGTTACCAGCAGGTCAGGGTTTAATCAGGACCTTACTGTGGGCTGAAATGCTTTTAGGAAAAACCTCCAGCTCCTTGTGTTGAAATCTGACTAGAAACTGTAATTGCTCAAAGGTGCAATCTTTGTCTGTGTTTTCTCTTCCAGATAATATGTCATACTTTTAGATGAAGGACCACCCAAGACACAGCAATGTGTAACAATATGTTGCCTTTCTCTAAGCTGTAAACGGCTGTGACACAACCTGACTAAGTTGTAAAGCTTTCACACCTTTTGCACTTGTCTTTTTGCTGCTCTAAATCTTTTTAACTTTTTAATACATGATTCGTTTTCCTGAATAAACACATTTTAATGACTATGTATTTTGAATTGTGTGATTCATTAAGCATAGAAGTTGAACAATCCCAGTGGAAGAAGTCTGTATGCTGCTTCAGATCAGTGCTCTTCACTATTTTTCAATGAGAGGCACACTGTCAATCACTTTCACCACAAAACACCTGGAGGCCCCCGACCACTGAGCCAGTGTGCCTACTAATTTGGCACCCCATGACACGTATGTAATATGTAATGCAGCCAAAACAATCCTATTTAAAAACAGGGATGAGTGGAAGCAGGCATGCATTTCCTATACTTTCTTCTTTGTTCATGGTTGAGAATGTTGACTTGACACAAAGAAAGACATCACTTTTTAGTGGTTTTAAAGTGGGAAAATTTGCTTCAGACACCACCTCTCTGTGAGCCCGTTTGTTCTGCTCTCTGCATGGCTACATAGCCCTCATGGAGCATTTCAGGATAAGAGCCTGCCTGACTTTGCTGACTTGTTCAGATTTTTTTCAGTTGTCCTTGATTTTGTGCTTCTACCATGGTTAAGTAGGCTACGTAATTAAATTGTTTTTTGTTGTTGTTGTTTTAACTGTGTTTATTGTTGATATAGGATGGGGAGTCTGCACACGGTGTTTTATTTTGAAAATTGACCAGATTCTCTCTGCCATTCTGTGTCTGACTTCCTGCCCAGTTCATCTGCTCTGTGCTGCTTGACGCTGATTCCCTCCAAAATAGACTGGCAGTGAATATTGAACTTTAGCTAAACTTTTTTAAAAAGCCCTACAGGAAAGTGCCTTGGGGCATCAGCAATTGCAAGACTTGAGCAAATGGCATTTTTGAAACTTTTTAAATTTAGTTTTTTTTTTAATCAAAGGTCGAAACAAACAAAAGCATCAGAAGTGCATTCAGAATGTCCTCATCTCTTCTGGCTAAGGAGTGGAAGGAAGCACTCAGCTGAGCAACATCTGTCACATCTGTGTGTTCGTCCACCGGCAACACATTACTGTAGTAACTGGTCACATAACATCTTTGCTGATGTCTTCTATTCGCCTCGTGAATCAGTCAACTGTAATCCATGTTTTTGCTTTACAGTTGCATGGGTGAACAGTATTTCTGCTGTAGCAAAAAAGAAGTCTTTTATTATTTCTTAGTGTGAGGAGGCTGTAGAAGTCGTTCTGTGGATGAGCTTTTGCTGCTCATAAAGCCAAGCAGTATGCGGCTCGAATGTTCTTTTCCTGAGGTTCCTCCCAGATGGAGAAGTTTCATTCAAATTTGGATGCGTGGTTTGGAAATGGTGCCCCACGTACTTTGTGTGAGACCGGAGCAGGTGTGGTTCAATGTTAAACACAAATTAGTGTTTAGTTTTCTTTTCTATGCTCATCTTGTATGTATGGCTCGTATCTTTCTTCTTTCACTCTGAACACCTGCTGTCTGCCGGCAGACTCTGGCTTGAAATGACATCACCAGCGCAGAATGGCAGCGCCGCTATGGGATATATTGTGGGGTTTTTGGTAGTTTTTTATTTTTTGGCTGATATTTTGGCTTCATTTTGTGCAGTGGAGGTGCAGTGTCCATCATTATGTACAGTCTATGATCCGAACTAATGCTACTACACGAGTTTGCAGTGTTGCCAGATTGGTGAAAATTTCCACCTCTAGCTTTATAAATTAATTGTAGTATAAGACCAAAAGCTTGCATGATTATAGTGCACTGTACTGTGTACGTATATAATATAAATGTCCAACACCACTCTTGCCGTTGTGGTGCTCTAGTGGGCCGCAGTGAGTTAGGCAGGTCTGAGCAGCTCTTCACAATCCCATGTTTGTAGCATACACTGCCATCTTGTGTATGGATAGTGCAGCTGTTTTGATTGTTTTTATGAATGATGTGTATTGGCTGCATTATCATATGATTATTAGCTGACCTTGCAAGCCACCAATTAAAGCTTGGTGAACCTTTTAACAAAAGTGCTCTATTTTCTAAGACATTGAATCATGCTGTTGCAGACAAAGGGTGATTATTTATTTTTGTGAATACAGAATGTTGCATGACAAAGCGTGGCTCATAAAGTGGGTAAGATGTTTGTTGACTTTTCAGTGTAACATATTAATGATCTGTCCTAACAGTGTAGCATCTCGCCGTTGTCTGTCTATATCTGAACTCCCATCTCCTCCTGTGGTCTCTTGCTGTCTTTCTGTTTTACACAGACAATCTCATATAATGCCCCCACACATCTCACTGCACAGAGCGGGTCACTGTAATTAATTGTTGACAGAAATATAAGTAGATTAAGTGTGTGTGTGTGTGTGTGTGTGTGTGTGTGTGAGAGTGTAATCCTCCATGCTTGCTGAGTTGTATGCTTGCCTGTAATTAACAATGGTGGAAAGACACATTCGTTACAAATAGCACAAACAGAGAAGTCTTTTGTTTTGTTTTGTTTATTTACTAACATTAGCTACCATATGCTCCTATGCAGTACATCCGGAAAGTATTCACAGAGTTTCAATGCAAAGTAAACATTTTGCTGTGATTAAATAGCAATAAACAGATCAAACTGATGCTGAAATAACTACAAAATGATGCAGATTTGTTATATGAATTCATGCTTTGTCAGATCTGTCAGCAAATGTTTGTTTCTGAATGGAGTTCGGATCGATCAGGGCTATGCTATGCTAACTTGGTCACAGTAAAGTACAACGATAGCTGGAATAAAGTTACAGACACATATTGTCTGAACTCACCAGGTAGGTCAACTTTCTCACTTTCTTTTCTCCAAGTAATATCCAGTTTTGTCCGGTTTTTATATAAATATGAAGTAGTAGTCCAGCAGAGCTCTGGGTGTCCACCCTAACAACACCAGTGGAACTGGATGTGCACGGAAGCTCGCTGCTGAGAAGCTTGAGTGAAGAAAAATCAACGTTGTAATCCCAAAAACTAAAGTAAAAAGCTAATTTAATAAAAGCAGTTGTCTGTACAATGACTTTGTACGTGAACACACTGCCCCAAACACTCACTTCGCTTTTGGTCTGAAAGCACCTTTAGGCCCTCCCTCAAGAGCCAGGCATAGAGAAAACTTTGAATTGTCTCTATTTGTGAGTCATTCACATTAACATACCATCCAATTTTGGTGCTGTGACCTAAATTTGAATAGCTGATATTGTTTCTGAACAAAATTATAAAGGTTATAAAACTTTTGTTTTTGCCCCTGATCAGCATCTTGATATGCCACACCTGTGGGGTGGATGGATTATCTGGGCAAAGGAGAAGTGCTCACTGACACCGATTTTGACAGATTTGTGAACAATATTTGAGAGAAATAGGCCTTTTGTGTCCATAGAGAAAGTCTTAGATCTTTGAGTTCAGCTCGTGATGAATGGGGGCAAAAACAAAAGTGTTGCCTTTATAGTTTTGTTCTGTGTGTGTGTGCGCGTGTCTGTGCGTGTGCGTGTGTGTGTGTGCCTTACATGTCACAGTTCATAGACAAGGAAGCAATATTTGGCCAACACCAGGTTCATCACATATCACATTTCTCTTTTTCTGTCTGTCTGTCCTTCATCCTCTCTCTTTCTTAAAGTTTCTTATATTTGCTCTTCAACCTCTTATCACTTCTGGTTAAAGCCCTGGATGCAGAATGTCGCTCTAAAGCGTGAGTTATACTCCTGCGTCAGGTCTACATGCTTAGCCAACTGCGTAGCCATGCATTTATACTTGTGCGTCAGTGTCTCCTTTGTTCTGCCAAAGGCTAGTTGGCGGTAGCACTACAGCGTCCACTGAGTTGACTTTTGCCGACCAAGCAGGCTAACTTCCAGTTTAGCCCACCGCTAACTTGAATGGGGGTAAAGTAGTTTGTAGTTAGGCTATGATGTAGGCTACGGGGCAACGCATAGGCTATGCCGTCGATTTGATGCAGAAGTATAAATCACGCTTAACTCTAATCAGACTAATTAACATGTGCTAGATCGTACTTCTCTGACTGCTTAAAGCCATGAAGAGATGGAACAATCCTGTTCAAAGTGACAGAGTTGTTGGCTGTTAAAGAGGTTTGTCACGGCGTGTTTTTCGGGGGACAGATTAGTCGCACTTTTTTATTTGCTTTCTTGTGTGTGGATCTCTCGCTTATCCTCTCACCTGATTCCTCAAATTTTGCTGTGATTTGTGGTTTCTTGGTGTACAGGCTTCTGATAAAGCTCAAATCTTCAGCCTCCCTCCCTTTCTTCGGAGCGCTGTGTTGAGTGACACACTACAAGATAAAAGCAGCCAAATACTTCAAAAAAATGGATATACCCATGAGCTGCCCTCATTCCCGCAGATCTGGGAAGGCTGTCCACAAGGATTAGGAGTGTGTTCAAGGGAATTTTTGACCGTTCTTCTAGAAGTGCATTTGTGAGGTCAGGCACAGATGTTGGACCAGAAGGCCTGGCTCGCAGTCTGCATTCTAATTCATCCCAAAGGTGCTCTGTCGGGTTGGGGTCAGGACTCTTTGCAGCCCAGTCAAGTTCTCCACACCAAACTCCCTCATCCATGTCTTTATGGACCTTGCTTTGTGCACTTGTGCTCAGTCATGTTGGAACAGGAAGGGGCCATCCCCAAAGTGTTTCCACAAATTTAGGAGCATGAAATTGTCCTAAATGTCTTGGTATACTGAAGCACGGTTCCTTTCACTGGAACTAAGGGGCCAAGCCCAACCCCTAAAAAAAACCCATCACCACACCATAACACCCCTTCCACCAAACTTTAGTACAAGTACCTGGCAACTGCCAAACCCAGACTCGTCCATCGGATTGCCAGTCAGAGAAGCGCGATTCGTCACTCCAGAGAACACGTCTCCACTGCTCTAGTGTCCAGTGCTGGTGTGCTTTACACCTTTGCATCCGACGCTTTGCATTACACTTGTGATGAAAGGCTTTGATGCAGCTGCCTGGCCATGGAAACCCATTCCATGAAGCTTTCTACGTACTGTTGTTGAGCTAATCTAAAGGCCACACGACGTTTAGAGGCCTGTAGCTATTGACTCTGCAGAAAGTTGGCGACTGTGCGTCTCAGCATGCTCTGACCCCGCTCTGTGATTTTATGTGTTCTCTACCACTTTGTGGCTTAGTTTCTGTTGTTCCCAATGGTTTGCACTTTGTTATAATACCAGTTGACAGTGGAATGTTTAGTAGTGAGGAAATTGAACAGGTGGCAACCTATCATGGTACCACGCTTGAATTCAGTGAGCTCCTGAGAGCAAACTATTCTTTCGTAAATGTTTGTAGAAGCAGTCTGCATACCTAGCTGTTTGACTTTGCTTGAATTCAATGATTCGGAGGGGTGTTCTAAAACTTTTGGCCATCCGTCCTTTTTTCACCAGTTATCTGGTTGCAATGACCGCAAGCCAGTTCAGACCTCCTTAAGTCCAGCCACGGCCTCCAGCTACACCAGGGCATCACTAGTATATTCTGCTTCTGCCCAACAAAGGCATCTTGGAGGCATCCTAATCAGTTGCCCAAACTTCCCCAGGTGGCCCCTTTCAACGCAAAGGAGCTATGATTCCACTCCAGGCTCCATCCAGATGTCTGAGCTACTCACCCTGTCCCATAAGGCGTCATGTGCTTTAAACAAAGCAAATCTGAGTATGGCCACTACGCTAAAACCACCTCACTGTCCAGAACTGTACTTAAGGACTTGTTTGGTGCCCATAGTGGTCTTTATTTCAAACAGAACTGCCGGCCATGTAATATTAAAATGCACATGCTTTTACCATCCGTAACCGGTGTTGTCAAACCAACAAAGACTGAAATCTTAAGGATTATTTCTGAAGTGTATTAGAACAATTGCTAATAATCAAGTGCACTCATACTAATGGCTGCCTGGAAGGCAGGAAAATACCCTAAAAACAAAAAGAGTTTTTCCACAAATCTGAACAATTCTGATGATTTCTGGACTATCAGTTCAGTGTGTTGGAGTAGTAGCTGCTTTTATCTTTAGTACTGAGCTGTGGCACTAGAGTTTGTCCTCACAATTCACAAAAAGATCTTTAATAACATCCTCACTCTGTCCCAGGCGCTAATTAGCTATGGTTTCCTGAGGTAGCCATTTTCTACAGCTGGTGGTGCTGGTGGTGGGGCGGGTGGCAGGCAGCTTGGACAGGGGGATTTAGCTTGAAAGAGCCTTGTGTGTCTAACTGAGATGTCTGTCTGTTTGGCTATCCGTCAGACATATCAGAGATGGAGTCATACCATTCCTATTCTCCCCCAGAGGAGAGGAGGTCCCGCCAGTCTGACCTGTCCTCCCACTCTTCTAATGAAAGAGACAACCCCAGGTAGGATGGATGGAGGCTTGGATGGATGAGTTGGAAGTAAGACAATTACAGTTTCAAAACCTTACACAGCTGACTTCCAGTTCATTTATGTAGAATTGTGGATTAAGGGGTAACTTTGTTTTTTCAACCAGGCCCTATTTTCCCAGGGTTTTTTTTTGTCTATGTGACTAATTGCAAGCTACATCAAAGTGCAAAGTTACAAAGTACGTCCACTAAAACGTGTTATTTCAAGTGTCTGACAACATTGTGTGTGTATGTGTAACAGGGAAGAACCCATGAGGACAGCCAAGATGTCAGCCATGGCCTCCCCATTCAGAGTACCTGAAGACCCCCAGGCCTCAGCTGAGCTGGACAAAGACACAGCACACATTGAGGAGCCTCCAGGTTATCACTCAGTACACCATCTACGTCAGTCAACCATGACAGGGTCATAGCCCTCACATTAACAACGTCCAGAAACACACCAACATCTAACTTACTGGACTGAATAGAAGATAACTCCTTGTTTTCAATTCAATTCAATTTTATTTATATAGCGGCAAATCACAACAACAGTTATCTCACAGCCCTTTTCATAAAAGAGCAGGTCTAGACCGTACTCTATGATGATATTTACAGAAGCCCAACAGTTCCCACCAAGAGCAGCACTAGGCGACAGAGGCAAGGAAAAACTTCCTTTTAAGAGGCAGAAACCTCGAGCAGAACCATGGCTCAGGGTGGGCGGCCATCTACCTCAACCAGTTGGGGTGAAGGAGAGAGAGGGAGAGAGGGAGAGGGGGAGAGGGAGAGGGGGAGAGAGAGAGGGCAGGAGAGGAACAGAGAGAAAAAGAGAGGGATGGAAGGAGAGAGAGGGGAGGCAGCCTACACAATATACACACAGAGGTACAGACAGTAAAGGTGATGTTGCTATAGACTAAATGAAAAATGGTACAGATATTTATAGTAGTGTTAATGGTAACAATCGTAATGTTAATGATTATAATAACAATAATAACAATAAGACTAGTAACAATAGTCGTTGCAGCAGAGGGTGTCGAGCAGGAACACGGGGGCAGCAGGTGACCCGCAGCCACAGATCCAGACTCCACAGCTCCAGAGCCAGAAAACCTGCAGGAAGTGATAGGAGGAGAGAGGAGAGGGACGAGAAAGCACAAGACTACCAGAAAGGGGAGAAGTTGTGTTAGTAACATGCAATAATGGGATGAGGTTGCATACAGAGGGAGAGAAAGTAGCGGAGAGAGGAGCCCAGTGCATCATGGGAAATCCCCCGGCAGTCTAGGCCTATAGCAGCATAACTAAGGGATGGTTCAGGACTCACCTGAGCCAGCCCTAACTATAAGCTTTATCAAAGAGGAAAGTCTTAAGCCTACTCTTAAATGTGGAGATGGTGTCTGCCTCCTGAACCCAAACTGGAACCTGGTTCCACAGGAGAGGAGCTTGATAGCTGAACGCTCTGGCTCCTAGTCTACTTTTGGAGACTCTAGGAACCACAAGTAACCCTGCATTCTGGGAGCGCAGTGCTCTGGAGGGGTAGTAAGGTACTATGAGCTCTTTAAGATAAGATGGTGCCTGACCATTAAGAGCTTTGTAGGTAAGAAGAATGATTTTAAATTCTATTCTGGATTTTACTGGAAGCCAATGCAAAGAAGCTAAAACAGGAGAAATATGATTTCTTTTCCTGGTTCCTGTCAGAACACGTGCTGCAGCATTCTGGATCAGCTGAAGAGTCTTAACGGACTTTTTCACAATAGGAAAAATACATGCCATCCAGATTTTAACATCCTGAAGGCACATTTGAAGTTTAGCGAACTGATGAGTTTCATCTGGTTTGATCGATAGATATAACTGAGTATCATCTGCATAACAATGAAAGTTTACGGAATGTTTCCTGTTAATATTGCCTAAAGGAAGCATATATAAAGTGAAGAGGATTGGTCCGTGACTCCATGACTAACTTTGGCATGCATGGAGGACTCATCGTTAACATGTACAAACTGAAATCAATCTGATAAATAGGACTTAAACCAGCTTAGAGCGGTTCCTTTTATGGCAATGAAATGTTCCAGTCTCTGCGATAGGATCTGATGGTCAATGGTATCAAATGCAGCACTAAGATCTAATAAAACCAGTACAGAGACAAGTCCTTTGTCTGATGCAATAAGGAGGTCGTTAGTAATTTTCACCAGTGCTGTCTCTGTGCTATGATGAGCTCTAAATCCTGACTGAAAATCCTCAAATAAACTATTGCTCTGTAGAAAGTCACACAGCTGTTTAGCAACTGCTTTCTCCAGAACCTTAGAGAGAAATGGAAGGTTAGATATAGGTCTATAGTTGGCTAAAACATCCGGATCAAGTTTGGGCTTTTTCAGAAGAGGTTTAATTACAGCTACTTTAAAGTACTGTAGTACATAGCCTGTTGATAAAGATAAATTGATCATATTTTGTATAGAAGTGCTGTCTAAGGGTAAAACATCTTTAAGCAGCCTAGTCGGGATGGGGTCTAAGAGGCAGGTTGATGGTTTAGATGAAGAAATTATTGAAGTTAGTTGGTAAAGATTGAGGGAAGCAAAACAGTCTAAACATGTATCTGGTTCTACAGCTGTTTCGAAGGTTCCTGAGTTTAGAGATAAGTCGGTGCCAGTTGAGGGCAGGTCTTGGTGAATTTTGTTTCTAATAGCTAGAATTTTATCATTAAAGAAGCTCATGAAGTCGAAACTACTGAGAGCTATGGGAATACTTGGCTCAATAGAGATGTGACTCTCTGTCAGCCTGGCTACAGTGCTGAAAAGAAACCTGGGGTTGTTCCTATTTTCCTCTATTAATGACGAGTAGTACGCTGCTCTGGCATTACGGAGGGCCTTCCTATAAGTTTTAAGACTATCTTGCCAAATTAAACGAGAATTTTCCAGTTTGGTGGAACGCCAATTCCTCTCAAGTTTCCGCGATATTTGCTTTAATTTGCGAGTTTCAGTATTATACCATGGAGCTAACCGTCTTTGTTTCATTATTTTCTTTTTTAGAGGGGCTACAGAGTCCAGTGTCAATCGCAGCGAGCCTGCAGCACTATCAACAAGATGATGGATTTGGGAGGGACTGAAACTAGCATAGGAGTCCTCCGTTACTTTGTGACTAGATAATGAATTTAGAGCTGATGGAATCGCATCATTAAATTTAGCTACAGCACTATCAGACAGACATCTTGTATAGAAATTTTTGCCCAATGGTGTGTAGTTCAGCAGTTTTGAGACTCTTTAAATATATTATAAAACAGACAGAATGTGTTGGCCACTTGGGAGCAGTGGGAACAAACTATAAGAACAATGTCTGCATTATTTTCATCTTATAAAATTGATTTGGCAATCATGCTAGCTAAGAATTTTTTAATGAATGGATGTAAATCCCAAATTCAAACCAGATTGACATGAGTTTGATAAGAAAAGAGTTTCAGGTTGTCAAGCTAAAACAGTGATCTAAATGAGACCAGCAAAACCCATACACAGGACACATTTGTTTTCTCCAGCAAAAGGGTGGGTTTGAATCCTTCGGTAATTTCCAAAGCTTCATTATACATTTACTTATACTGACCTCACATGTTGTTGGCAACATGTAAGATGTTAACAACACTCTTCTTGATTGTCTTATATACAGTTGCTGCAACAGCCACACCCAAGATTCTCCTCCGACCAAGTGCAGAAGATGAAAAAATATACGGGTGAGTTATTCTTTTTACTATGTTTGCTTTCCCCATTAATGCTTGATTAATAATCACACTATTTACCTTCATGTCAATTGAAATAATATCAGTTTATATAAAGAAACTGCTACTTACAGTGAAGGTTCATCAAAACACACATGACAAACATCTACATGCTCTTCCGCAAAGGCAAAATTTTTGGAGACGAAGAAAAAAGGAAGTCCGGTCCAGCCAAACCCTCTGTTTATAATGTGGGAGGTACTCACAGGTACTGAACCACCAGTTGGTTTCTCCTTGTGGTGTGGAGGGCAAAGCACTTGCAGTTTGTAACAGAAAACATAGACAAGTCAAATAAGAATTAGTATCACACACAGTGGTGTGCAATGAAGAATATATAAAACAAGTCAATGTAAATTAAAGGAAAAATAAAGTAAACATCGCGCGGTTTATAATCAATAAATAAAACATAAACAAATGGAAAAATAAAATACATGTGTGTGTCTCTGCCGACGTAGTCTGCGTTGAGGTCTGGCATCAAACACACAGGCACAGTTCCGGCTTTTCAGCCACTTTTTACTCCACGTTCACATCTGCATTCACAGTAAAAAAGACAGGGAGCATCATGTGTCAGACAGACGTTGCTCTCCTCTAACAGGGTCAGCTCTGACCGGAGCGTCTGTGCTCTCACCCAGGTCACCATGGCAACATCACCACAGCGACCACGCGCACATGCGTCCCAAACACAAGGATTTAACAATAAATAATAAAGACGTTTTGGTGAAATTCACAAGTATATAGTGTCACCTGTTACATTCGCATGAGACATTTTTGTAGAAGTGAGCTTGAAAAAATTAGATGAAGTTAGGGACAGACTCTGAGAGCCTGATCTCCTCTGGACTGTTCCTGAGTGTAAGGGCCCTGACAGCAAAGGCCCTGTCTCCTTTGGAGACAGCCAGCACAGAGATGCTACAAATGAGGAGATATGGTCACATTTTCTGCAGCGAGTTATAAGTTGAGCTGCAGCATTTTGGACAAATTGTAGGTGATGAAGTGATTTTTAACTGAGACACGTATACAGGACGTTACAGTAGTCAAGGTTGGAGGAGATGAAGGCATGGATGACTTTCTCTAGATTGTTGGCTGAAATAAAAACAACTTTCTCTACATGGGGCTCCAAACACAAGTCCTGATATCTGGACTCAAGCTTAGCATAAATTGCTAGTTCCCCTAGGTTTGCCATGATATGAGTTCTATTAGCTGGGGGACCAATGACATCCGATTTAGGGAGATTTAGATGTAGGAAGTTGTGTGACATCCAGTCATTGATCCAGCAAGGCATTTGTGAAGGGTGGCAGTGTTGATCGGGATACAGAGCTGTGTGTCATGAGCGTAACAGTTGAATTGTACATTGTATTTGTGGATGATGTTAACGAGGGGAAGCATAAATACAGCATGTATGGGATCAAACTGAGCCGGCCATTGTCACAGAGAAACACCTGTTAGATAAGTAGGACCTGAACCATCAGTGATCCCTGCCCACCTTTCAAGTCTGCCCATGGGCAGGTTGTGAGCACTGAGGTCCAAAAGAACTACACTGCTCAAAAAAATAAAGGGAACACTTAAACAACACAGTGTAACTCCAAGTCAGTCACACTCCTGTGAAATCAAACTGTCCACTTAGGAAGCAACACTGATTGACAATCAATTTCACATGCTGTTGTGCAAATGGAATAGACAACAGGTGGAAATTATAGGCAATTAGCAAGACACCCCCAATAAAGGAGTGGTTCTGTAGGTGGAGACCACAGACCACTTCTCAGTTCCTATGCTTCCTGGCTGATGTTTTGGTCACTTTTGAATGCTGGCGGTGCTTTCACTCTAGTGGTAGCATGAGACGGAGTCTACAACCCACACAAGTGGTTCAAGTAGTGCAGCTCATCCAGGATGGCACATCAATGCGAGTTGTGGCAAGAAGGTTTGCTGTGTCTGTCAGCGTAGTGTCCAGAGCATGGAGGCGCTACCAGGAGACAGGCCAGTACATCAGGAGACGTGGAGGAGGCCGTAGGAGGGCAACAACCCGGCAGCAGGACCACTACCTCCGCCTTTTGCAAGGAGGAGCAGGAGGAGCACTGCCAGAGCCCTGCAAAATGACCTCCAGCAGGCCACAAATGTGCATGTGTCTGCTCAAACGGTCAGAAACAGACTCCATGAGGGTGGTATGAGGGCCCGACGTCACCAAGATTGGCAAATTCGCCACTGGCGCCCTGTGCTCTTCACAGATGAAAGCAGGTTCACACTGAGTCTGGAGACGCCGTGGAGAACGTACTGCTGCCTGCAACATCCTCCAGCATGACCGGTTTGGCGGTGGGTCAGTAATGGTGTGGGGTGGCATTTCTTTGGGGGGCCGCACAGCCCTCCATGTGCTCGCCAGAGGTAGCCTGACTGCCATTAGGTACCGAGATGAGATCCTCAGAGCCCTTGTGAGACCATATGCTGGTGTTGTTGGCCCTGGGTTCCTCCTAATGCAACACAATGCTAGACCTCATGTGGCTGGAGTGTGTCAGCAGTTCCTGCAAGAGGAAGGCATTGATGCTATGGACCGGCCCGCCCGTTCCCCAGACCTGAATCCAATGGAGCACATCTGGGACATCATGTCTCGCTCCATCCACCAACGCCACGTTGCACCACAGACTGTCCAGGAGTTGGCGGATGCTTTAGTCCAGGTCTGGGAGGAGATCCCTCAGGAGACCATCCACCACCTCATCAGGAGCATGCCCAGGCTTTGTAGGGAGGTCATACAGGCACGTGGAGGCCACACACACTACTGAGCCTCATTTTGACTTGTTTTAAGGACATTACATCAAAGTTGGATCGGCCTGTAGTGTGGTTTTCTTTAATATTGTTCACAATTCTGTCCAAGTCCGTGTCAGTGAGCACTTCTCCTTTGCCCAGATAATCCATCCACCTCACAGGTGTGGCATATCAAGATGCTGATCAGACAGCATGGGGACTGCACAGGTGTGCCTTAGGCTGGCCACAATAAAAGTGATGTATTTTACCACAGCTCCGTGATGTCATCATGAAGGAGTGGAAGAGGACTCCAGTGGCCACCTGTGAAGCTCTGGTGAACTCCATGCCCAAGAGGGTTAAGGCAGTGCTCGGAAATAATGGTGGCCACACAAAATAGTGACACTGTGGGCCCAATTTGGACATTTTCACATAGAGGTGTCCTCACTTTTGTTGCCAGCGGTTTGCCTGTGTCAGGCTGTGTGTTTCACCAGTGTGTATGTGGTGAATGCCGATGTAGTGTAAAAGCACTTTGAGTGGTTGAAAAGACTAGAAGGGTGCTATACGGAGCATTTATACAAGCTGTGCACTCACTACTTTACATTGTAGCAAAGTGTCATTTCTTCAGTCACATGAAAATTTTTATAAAAATGTGAGGTTTAGATACTGTATATATGACAGTAAATATCAGCTTTAAATGAGGGTTCAGTTACATCAAAGGTTGACTTCATTTGAACTGATGCATCCATGTTTGTTTTTCAACTCTTGCATCTCAGCCTAGTGGGACTTATTGGTGTTGTCAGGGAAATACATGATTTCCTGTGAGTATGCTATATGAATGAAATAACTGAGCTGAGGCCATTGTAGTGGTTTTCCGGTGCAGATGTTAAACATACTGCCCTGTCAAACAGGTTCAGTAGCACATCATTTATGCAAGATCACACAAAAAATTGGGAGGTGATATCTGTGTGACTGATTCCACATTCCTTTTGGACTTACAAATATTTAACATTTGCAAGGGCCAGATTTGTATGGAAAATGCATATATTTAAATCTGGGCCATGTTGTTTATGGCAGTATGTATTTTCCGGCAGGCCCAACACAGTAATGGTGAATTTCCAAAAGGGAGACAGCGTTGGGCTGAGGCTCGCAGGAGGAAATGATGTCGGCATCTTCATTGCTAGTGTTCAAGAGGGCAGTCCTGCTGAGGAAGAGGGCCTACGCATTGGAGACCAAATCCTAAAGGTAACTATTCCAGACACAACTTATTTCCATTTCATAAACAAAAATAAGCTCAGAGAAGCCATAGTTCAACCTGAAGGTGAGTTTACAGAAAAATACCATTGTATAAATCATCTCATTTTGAAACAGTGGTAATTATTGTACCCTTTGTTTGTGTCTTGAAGGTGAACAATGTTGATTTTCAAGGTGTAGTGAGAGAGGAAGCAGTGCTCTTCCTGTTGGAGATTCCTAAAGGGGAAGTGGTCACCATCCTGGCCCAGAGCAAACCTGATGGTAAAAATCCTCCAAAAACACCAACAGACACAGAAGCGTAAAGCGTCAGAGTTACATATCTCACATTAATAAAACATACAGTCCCCTCCAAAAGTACTGGAACGGTAAGGCTAATTCCTTTGTTTTTGTTGTTCACTGAAGACATTTGGGTTTAAGATCAAAGGATGAGTATGAGACAAGAGTTCAGAATTTCAGCTTTCATTTCCTGGTATTCACATCTAGATGTGTTAAACAACTCAAAACTCAAACTGTATTTTTATTATTATCTTTTACAAAAAACATACAATAATAATAATAATAATAATAATCTTTATTTGTAGAGCACTTTTCAAAAACAAGTTACAAAGTGCTTTAACAAGTGTAAAGACAATAATACCCAAAAGACAATAATACAAAAACAAGACAAGATAAAAGCAAGAAAACATTGAAAAGACTAAAATACACGTTTAAGATAAATATAAAATAAGTAAAATAGAATAAAATAAAAGGGATAAAATAAAGTCAAATAAGATCGGGAAAGGCTCTCCTATAAAAGTATGTTTTAAGAAGGGACTTAAGAGTTCACTGACTCAGCTGACCTGATTTCCTCGGGCAGGCTGTTCCAGAGCCTCGGGGCCCTGACAGCAAACGCTCTGTCCCCTTTAGTTTTCAGTCGAGACTCTGGAACAGACAGCAGACCTCTGCCCGAGGATCTATATATAAAATAGACAGGGCCTTCACAGGTGAGACAAAACACTTGACATTGCACAAGAAAGAAAATAATAAAGGGTACATCAAAGTATAAGGCTCTCTGGGTCTCCCATGGTTGTCCCTCAGGGTCATAGGTTTTTTATAATCTGTGGCTTTAGCTCAGCCAAAGTCAGTACTTCCAAGGGGGCGACATCCTCTACTCCTTTAAGAGTCCAGTCTATCAGTCCCGGCACAGAAAATAATAGAACAAAGCTCTCCAAAATAATCAGTTAACATTCAAGTAAAATTCCGCTTTATCAAGTATTTTTCACGTTTTTTGTGGCGTGCCTCAGGGTGAAAAAAAGTTTTCCGAAACGTAGATTTCCTGGACTATTTCTATGCATTCAAGGACTGTTGAGGGCTCCTTATTCAGCCATTTCCTGGTTATCACCTTTTTACTACTATCTGTCCTGCTTTTTCAGCCCTGCCTGTTTTTACTCATTGTGTTGATTGACATACAGTTTACTGGCGCATGCATTCTCCTAAGAAGGTAAGCACGTTTTTACAATTTTAACACATCTGCTGGTAAGCAGTGACACGTTCCTTCAGCACCATGAACACACACACTGAGGTTTATTTTGACTGCGAGCTGAGAGCCACGGGCAGCACAGGGAGGTCAGAAAGCACCGAGCCTGAGCCTGGCCATAAGGTTTGAGCAGTGATGGCCTGTGCTGCAACTAAAAATGCTAAAATGATGGAGTATTAATCAGAGCAGTTTTAACTGACTCAGTTGTAGGCTTGTCAGCAACTTGTGGAATATCCCAGAACACAGTGTACCTTCCCACAATGCTCTGCCAGCTGTCACACTCTCTCTGTTCTCTCTCTCTCTCTGATGTTTCCATTAATGATGGAGATACCAGCCAGCTCGGTCCCCAAGGCTTTTAGACCAGATGAGGCTAGTTTTGGTCAGCCAACCGTGACACACATGCACCCACACAGATCTGCTCAGGAGCACATGGGGTGAGAGAGAGCAGCACAGACTGTGTTATGTAATGGGCACATTGATGGCTCTAAGGATTTTGGCCTTTGTATTGAAAAAATCTATTTATTAAGCAAGTAACATCACACAGTGAAACACAGCACTGACCTGGCATGAAAATGGTGTGACTCTTCACTGCCAGCACTGTTTTAAGGTTATCAGAGACAGTTGGCTGGTCCTCACATACAAACAAATGGTAGTGGTTGAGATTAGAAAGGGTGGTGACTGTACGGTTTATTTTGGATAGGAAAGAATTATGGATGATTTTCAGGTTAAATGTACATTTCAGGAACACGTATATGTGTATTTTTTCTGCCAGCTGCAACAACTGTTGCAAGTTTAGTTATATTGAAATGCCTTGAGCAGAAATGTTTGCATTACTAAATTAAATGCGGTGGCAACACCAGTTCTTATGTCAAATAAGTAGGCTAAAGTTTATTTAAATAGCACCTTTGCCGAACAGACGATCACAACGTGCTTCACTATAAAAGACGAAAGCGTGACGTTTTATACAGACACAAAGAAAAGATGGACAATTGCGAGAGTGCTACAGTTTAGGAGGTACAGTTTTTAGTTTTCACGCTATCCTTTAGTTTTAAGCCTGAGGTGAGGAACAACCAACAAGCCCTGCTCAGAGGACCCCAGAGACCTAGTATGGTAGTTTTCTGTCTGCTCCTGGTTAAGAAATAGTCTGGCACATAACCACCCGTAAAACCACAATATGTCATTTGTACAACTTGGTTTTTGGAGGGATTACACAAACGAGATATATAACAGGTTAATCAGTGAGCTTCAGCTTTTTTTAGCTAAGCTTACTGGTTGCTGGCTGTAGCTTCAGATTTACCAGAGTGGTATCAATAGTCTTATCTAACCCTCTGCAACAAAGTGACTACGCTTATTTTCCAAAATGTTGGCCTATTCCTTTAATTTTGAATTGTGCAACCTGATTTCATTAGTTTCAAAGGACTGGTGATGGATTTACAAATGCTCTGCTTTTTAGACGATCATTAAATCATGTATAATAGACACATAATGTGTCTCTTATTTCATAAAATTTCCATTGAGTGCCGCTATTATAGCCTTTAAAGTAAAGTAGGTTATTCAAGGGGAACCCTTTTGTGTTATGTGTTTTATCAGTTTGAGTGTGTGATTAAAGTGGACTAAATTTGAGTCCACAGTGCATATGAAGCCTCAGTGTAGCCAGCCCGCCACGGCAGCAGTGTATTGTAGTCAGTATGACTGTTGCCTCTGTTGGTCCTTTTGGGTCAGTGCTTTGTCAGACCACACATATCAGATTGGGAAGCCTCACAGGAGCCTGGAGCTGGCTGTAAAGTGTATTTCCATGCAACAGTCAGACAAATATGTGCGTTTTCTTTCAATTGTGCAAATAAGACTGGAAATTTGAGCGTGGAAGTTCATTCTTGACCTTTGAGAACAGTGCATGCAAGAAAATAATGTAAGCCCAAAGGTCCACATACTAATACTTTTGAGCTTTCAGCTGCACCTCATTGTCTGTATTCAGTGAATAGAAATGCCTCAGTTGTCGTCACTTATACCATGGTCTGGGAGAGTCCTGGTAATATAATTATCTAAAATTAGTAACCATAGCAACAGGGCAGCGGCACTCAAAGCCTCAGTTTACAGTTTATTGCAACACCTTAACAAGCTAACATCTAATTATAACAATGAGTGACTTCAACATTTCTATTTGGAGGATATGACAACTAGAGACAGAGAAACTGAAAAGAAAAATGACACAAGGAGTTCACACCGGGAGAATTAAATAAGTTTGAAGATGTAAAACAAAAAAAGCATCGTAATGGGCACCTAAAACACTGAGAGGCTCTAAATGAGTCCATGCAGGGCTTTTATGCCACTGTTCAGTCCTCCACGACAAGGGGTGAGTACAGTATTGCCAGCCTAAGGAGTCTGAGGCCCCATCCACACTACTCTGTTTTTAGTTTTAAAACCAATATAATCTGCATCCACTGCAGCGTTTTAGCTGCGTTTCGAATAGATCTCCATCTATTTTAAAAAGACTGAAAACGCACATCTAGTGGCCGTTCTACTTGTACTTTTCGACCACTCAAAGCGCTTCTACACTACATCCGCATTCACACATTGAGCTTAAGTGCTCAAACGGAAACTAACTTCCACTCCACCAGGGGCAATTCGGAATTCAGTATCTTGCTCTTTGAATAGCGACTCTTTTTGCACCTTTATCCGGAACAATCTATCACAATTCTGATAATAAAAGCTCTCCGGTGTCCCCTGCTACAGTCTGGGATGCAGCTAAAGCCACTTTACGTGGACACCGTATTTGCTATAGCTCTCATCAGAAAAAGCCTTAGTGGAAAACAGAAAAAACCCTGAAAAGGAAGTGATTAGGCTGGAGCAAATTCATAAGCAGTCACCCACACCAGCAAACTTAAAGGCACTAGTGGCTGCTAAGACTGAACTTAATATGGACCATACTCGTCACATCCAAAACATAAATATTATGAATATGAAGTCCAGCCGCCTGCTTGCCTACCAACAATATATATAGTGATCACTCAATTAATAGGATAAGAACACAGAACGGGGATGTGTGTGATCCAGTGATTGTCAATAACACATTCCGGGATTTTTTATAAATCCCTGTATAGTGCAGAGAAGGTTGACACCACTGCTATCGCTTCCTATCTGAACAAAATTCCTTTGCCTACCATTGTGGAGGAGGATTGTTCTAACTTAGACGCTGAGTTCACGCCGGAAGAGGTCTGTGCCACAATCCAGCCTAACGGGAAAGTGTTTTTTATGAAATTCTGGCCTGAGATTCACCCAATTTTTATGCCTGCCATTAACGGTATTTTAAAAGAAGGCATTCCCCCCTCCTGGAGATAAAAACTCCTCAGATTGTTCGTCATTTAGGCCTATTAGCCTCCTCAACGTGAACTACAAAATTGTTACACAGATACTTGCTCGGAGATTGGAAAATATCCTTCCGAAAAATAATAAACCCAGTTCAGGCAGGGTTTGTAAAATCGAGTGATGGCACAGACAATGTACGCCGTGCTCTTAATATTGATCAGTATTTTAACACTCATAAAAACCCAGCGCTGATGGTCTCCCTCGATGCCGAAAAGGCCTTTGACCGAGTGGAATGGTATTTTTTGTTTATGGTATTACAAAAAATTCAGTCTGGGCTTTAACTTCATTAATACGATTAAAACCTTCTACGCAGACCCAATAGCCACAGTTAATACTAACGGCCTGCTGTCTGATGGCTTCCCGGTGCGCAGGGGCTGCAGACAGGGGTGCCCCCTGTCACCTTTATTGTTTATATTGTTTATTGAACCTTTGGCAGAGGCCATCAGAATTAATCCTGATATATCTGGAGTTAGAATAGGTGACGAAAAACACATTATTTCCTTATTTGCAGATGATGTCCTTTTGTATCTGAATAAACCTGAGAAATCAATCTCAGCAGTTTTGGAATCGTTGGCCATATTCAGTAACTTGTCGGGTTATGAGATTAACCTTGGGAAGTCAGTCGCTACGCCCTTTAACAGGATATGTCAATACAATCTCTTTTTCAAGTGTCCAGGAGGGGTTTCAAATACTTAGGTATCTTTGTCACTCCTGACTTAAATAATCTGTTTGAAACTAATTACTCACCCCTAATTCAAATGATCAAGAACGACCTGACAAAATGGGCCTCCCTTCCAACTTCTCTCTTTGGGAGAATCACTATAAAAATGAATATTCTCCCTCGATTGACCTATGTATTACAAAATCTTTCGTGCTATCTGACCCCTGCCTTCTTTAAGTCTCTGAACTCTCATATTTCTCGCTATATTTGGAACAACAAGCACCAAAGAGTTAAATTCTCTATACTTACTAAACCAAATGATCTGGGGGGCTTGTCCCTGCCTAATCTACAACTATATTATTGGTCAGCACCACTTAAAACAATATCAGATTGGTTTATGAACAGGACAGACTCTTTATGGTTGGGTCTTGAATCCCTACTTTGCTATCCCAGAAGGCTTAATTCCCTTCCTTTTATCAATAATATGGATCAGATAAATTATCTCAAGAACAACATAATTGTTTGTAACACTTTACTGGTTTGGCAAGATGTGAAGAAATACCTGAATATTCCCCCTCTCATCTCTCTCAAATTTGACACTTCATAAGTTCTCTCTTGAGTACAGGTGGGATTCGCTTGAGACTGACAGAGCTGGAAAACATTATAGTTCTGGCCCAATCGCCCAAAGGACTGATTTCCAAGACTTGTACTTCATTAGTTTATTCTGATTCTTCATGCTATGACTCTCTGAAGCTGCTGTGGGAGCGTGATCTGGAGGTGACGATTAACCCTGCAGACTAGGAAAAGATCTGCAGCAGGCTTTTCCCTAAATGTACTTCAATCTTTATACATGAACAGAACTTTAAATTTTTTCATCGAACTTATTACACACCTGGTTGCCTCCAGAGAATGTTCCCTAACACCTCCAACTTGTTAAATGTACACAAATGTAATGTACACAAAGGTACAGTTATCCACTTGTTTTGGTCATGTGATCACATCCAGACTTTCTGGAAGGGGGTTCACTCTGTACTCCAGGAGGTTACTGGTAAACAGTTTTTGTTGACTTCTTCTTTCTGTCTACTTAACCACACCGCAGACAATCTCTTGGACAAAGGCACTTGATCTCTGTTGATAATTCTTTTGTTTTTGGCGGCTAAAAAATATATCTTGCTGCGGTGGTCAACTCCCCAGATCCCTACGGTTGACATGTGGATATCACAGATTTCTGCTCTTATTCCTCTCGAGAAGTTGACTCATGACCTTAATCACAAATCGGACAGGTTTTGGAGGATCTGGGAACCATTGAACTTTTTTCTACAGAAGCTATAGCTGGATGATGATAACTGTTTGCCCTTTTACCTATTTCATGAAAGAGCTCTTTGTTTACCTGTCTCCTGTCGTCTTTTTATTTACTTACTTATTTTATGTATATGTAGAAATATATAGCGCTTCTCTTACTGTTAGTTTGGGGTGGGACTTTTGTGTTTTGTTTTGTTGCTTATAAAAATGAAAATCCAATAAAAAAGAGTATTACAAAAAAACCCAGAAAATATCTACTGCAAACAACTTTACAACAGAGCCTTGATTTAAAAGAAAACTAGATAATGCACTCTGTGGAGCCCAGACCTCCACTGACGAGGTGTATTAAATTATGTGTGTTCAGTCTACTTTAGTGCACAACTGTAGTGAGCATGCTAATAAATTATCAGGTGATGAAGCTCAAACCCAGGATTATCAGTAATAATCACTATGGCCACCAAGTGCCAGATTTAAAGTTAATGTCGTTTATGTTTATTATTTTCATGCTAAATAAAGTTGTAGTTCTGAAGACGTGTTTTCTAGTTTGTTTTTCATACACGTAGGAGTGTTTTTTTTTAAAGTAAATTATTATATTACTAATTGTATTACAGTTGATAAGTAGATCAATATCATTATTATCAAAAGCTTTTGCTGTAATCTCCCCTATTCTTGATCTTATGTGATTTCTTTGATAGTTAACTTTATATTTGCAGCAAGATATAACTTATTAAAAAGCGTCATGACTCAATACACCTCCATGGCGGGGTGCATCAATTAATAAAAATAACTGACAACAATTTAAATGCCATGATCACCACTATCAGTACTGATCTGAGTAAATGTATCTCTTATAGCTGCTGTTGTTGATCGGCATACTGCCTGATTTTAACAGCATTGAAGTTAAGGTAAAGTTAACATTACCAGTGTGAACATATGTTTGCCACATTGGTAAATTATCTAAACACATCCCGTTAATATTCTAAAAACGTTTACTTGTCACACAATAAGTCACTTGTTTGACTTGAGGGCAGGTAATTATATTATAACATTTTCTAACCTGCCACTCTTTAATGAATTCTTTAAACAAGTCGGCATGTCTGTCGGTGAAATGCTAGTTGTTGCCTCCCTTGGTCTGAGTGGCTTTGAAACATTTTTTACAGGCGGGCTTTGTGGTGTCCATGGGCTTGCTCTCACTGTCGGCTGTCCAAAGCGACTTACAATTGCTATGCATGTCAGAGGTTGCACGCCTCTGGAGCAACTAGGGGTTAAGTGTCTTGCCGTTATTTGGACCTTAGGAGGTGAGGAGGTATTTCTGGTCATTTGCGTAGTAATTTTATTGGAGGAGTCAAGGCGGTGTATATGGCTCGTGCATGTGTGCTCAATTTGCTCTTGGTGGGAATTGTTGGGTTTCTGTAAATAACATCACAGAGTACGGTCTAGACCTGCTCTTTTATGAAAAGCTCTCTGAGATAACTGTTGTTGTGATTTGGCGCTATATAAATAAAAGTGAAATTGAATTTCTCGTTGATTGCGATGTATAAAGGAATGGTACGAAGGGTTAGGGGTTAGGGTTAACCCCTGGTTTCATACATGTGGAGATTTCTGTGCGTAGGTACTTTTCAAATTCTGTGAGGATGCCATATTTTAGTATGAAAGCTGCGCAGGGCCCCAGGTCTTTCACAGAAAGTCTGCCAATGATTTTCAAAGCCCACATCGTTTGCTGGATACCACCTCGACAACCAGCGGTGAAATGATGACATGCAGCTTTTAATTCTCCATTGCTGACTCCCCTCTTCTTTTTAATGATAATAATATATTTAATTTGTATAGCGCTTTTCACAAACTCAAAGTTGCTTTTGTACAGCTATCTTTGTCTCACTCTTTTAAATGCCTTCTTCTCTTTAATGTGTAGTCTATAATGATATCTTGGTGTCGGGGCGTGGAGACTCCTTCTTCATCCGGACCCACTTTGAGTATGAGAAGGAGACTCCACAGAGCCTGGCCTTCAGTCGAGGGGACATCTTCAAGGTGGTGGACACCCTCTATGATGGCAAGCTCGGCAACTGGCTGGCAATCCGCGTTGGCAAGGAAAAGCAGATGCTGGAGAAGGGCATCATCCCCAACAAGAGCAGGTAAGGCCATCTATCTATTGTGGCTTTTACATGAAAGTTGCAGAACTGATTTAACACACGAACATGTATATGAATAAAAAATGGATTAGTGACAGGTGTATTGTCCTGTTAGAGCGGAGCAGATGGCCAGTGTCCAGGGCTCTCATAAAGCTGTTGGGGGTGATCGAGCTGACTTCTGGCGGTTGCGAGGTCAACGTTCTGTTAAGAGGAAGGACCTGAGGAAGAGCAGAGAAAACTTGAGCAGTCAGAGCCTCGCCACCCGCTTCCCCGCATACGAACGAGTGGTGCTCCGAGAAGGTTGGTGGAACGCCTGCTCTGGATTGATTCTCTATATCTCTGTTTCTGAAAAAACAGTTGTTATTGATTTACACCTGAAACATCATGTTTGTTAACATGATGCAGGTTTTTAAAGACGTAACTCTGCAAACCTCCTCCTCCTAAGATGTTGTGGTTTGTTGCTCTTGTTTTGTTGTAAGAAAGACCAGTAACTGTCTGATCACAGTCCATTGCCAATCAGAGGTTTGAGATTCAAGACACCCTTTGAACATTTTACCCAGGGTTTATTGACTGATAAAAGATGTTCTTTTTTAGATTTAGAAATCGAGACCATCTGGATCACAGAGGTGGGTTGTATATTGTAATGTGGTTGTCCATAGGTGGATGGTTCAATAAGGAGATCCAGCCTGATCCACTTTTTTACATTTTTGACTATTCTGAAGAAATGTTTCACATAACCACCAACAAGCAATAATGGTGAACACTGTCACAGCCAAAATCATATATTTTTAGATTGGACATACTCAAATTAAAAAATGTAGAACTCATATTGAGATTTTTATCCTCTTTGAAACTTGGAGTGTTTGTATGAGCTGTATAATCTTAACACAGTAGGTTAGGCTTTGCCACTTTGCTTTGTCAATCAGAAGTAACTTTTTAGTTTCTGACAGATATACTGTATCGGCAAATATGTTTGCTAATATGTTTGTTTTTACACTGTAAAACGTTCTGCTCACTACATAGCTTGTTTGTTAAGAAAATTATATCGGCAAAATGTAGGTAATGTAATGTTAAGTGATTTTTTTAAATCCTCAAATATGGAAATTGGTATCAAATAACCTGACATGTGTCTGGTTCTGTTGAACTGACATAGCAAGATGACGCCACTCAGGGCAGCCGTGGTTTCCAGTCTACAGAGCGACTGCAACACGGAACTCTCTGTCAAAACATTGACAGTGGTTGGTGTAATGATGTGATCATTGCCACTGTTCTCACGACCTGGAATATTTACTGATAAACTGTAAACCATTCTACTCTCCCTGCGAGTTTGCTGGCTACTTTCTGCTCGGTGTTTACATTTCACCGCAGGCCAACGTGCACAACGCACAGCGCACGCTGGCCGACCAGATATTATGGTTAGAGCGGACATTCCCGGACATCTTAGTTATTGTCGGTGACTTTAACAAAGGAAACCTCAGCCAAGAACTCCCCAAATACAGTTTATAAAGTGTCCAATCAGAGAGGGGAACACTTTGGATCACTGCTACACCACAACAATAACGCCATCACCCGCGCTCCACTGGGACACTTTGACCACGCCATAGTTCACCTGATTCCTGCTTACAGACAGAAACTAAAACTGAAAACCTGTGGTGAGGACATCTAAGCAGTGGACCAGTGAAGCTGTAGAGAACCTTCAGGTGTGTTCGGACTGCATTGACTGGGATGTTTTCAGGACTGCTACTAACATTCTGGATGAGTATACAGAGGCTGTGACATCCTACATCAGTTTCTGTGAGGACAGCTGCATTCCAACACGCACCAGGGTGAGTTATAACCCTATAAGTTATAATTAATTCGAAGCTATAGTCCTGCAAATCAATAGGCCAGTACCTGCCATATTAGCCACTATCTATCGCCCACTCAAGTCTTGCAGTACTATTGGATATATCTTCACTGATGCTATCTAACTCAGTCACTGACTATAGTGCATGACTGTAGCTTTCAGCCAGGAGAAGGTGTCATCAGGTGGCGTCCAACTTTCACGGGGTGTTTCGACCCTGAACCACAACACCCTCCAGTTGGCGGGTCGGCAGTGGTGGCCAGTCACTGCCCACCTCCTCCTGGCCCCCAGCTCAACTCCTCCCTCCTACTCCAGAGCCAGCAAGACGCTCTTTCTGCTGCCTCACCCAACCTATGGACAGCTGCCTTCCTCTCCCTTCCTGCTAAACACAGAGCCGTGAGTGTCTTCCACACAGACTGCGCCGGGAAACCCCTACACCCGACCTCAACCGGGAATAGCCAGGTCTGCCACCCTTTGGCCCTACACTGCTCAACTAGGTCCTGATACTTGGTGGCTTTCCGCTCATAGGCCTCCTCGCACCCGTCCTCCCACGGGACCGTCAGTTCAATCAAGATTATCTTCCTTGCCTCCTCAGACCATAGGACCGCGTCCGGCCTCAGCGATATTTGCACAACCTGGGGGAAGACTAATCTCCTTCTCAGGTCCTCCCTCATCTCCCAGGATTGTGCTGCTTGCAAGAGGCTCTTTTTTTCCCTCTCTTGGGGGCTGGTGGTTTCTCCCCTTCTCTGACGAACTGAATGTATGTCGCCGGCCTTGTACTGGTCTGGCGCTTTTTCTGCTTCTCCCGCTCCAAGATGTCCGCCAGTTCACTGAGAACCTTGTCATGGCACCACCTGTATCTTCCTTGGCTAAGAGCTGTTTTGCATTCTGCCAATATGTGCGGCATTGTTCCCCTCCCTCCGCATAGCCTACACAACGGGTCCTCCCTCATTCCCCATCTGTGGAGGTTTGTCCAAGTTCGACGGCCCTAGACCTGCGCTTTTCTTCCTCCAGGTGTCGGACCTCAGCTTGAATCATGTCCCTCCTCTGACTTGGGTCAGCTTTACCCCATTGCTGGAAGTGGGTAGACCCGAGTCCTTGCCACCCTGCGCATGGGTTCCCGATGATGTCCTTCAGCTTCAATACGCTTTCAGCTTGCGCCACTGATGTGTCAGCCGTCCAATTGCGTTCTGATCTCGTAGTGGCGCCTGCTCTTCTGACTTTTTTCATCAGTGGAGTCTTGGTACATCATCACAACCCGGCACTTTGCCACCTTGAACTCTTCCACCACTGATGATGGTAGCTGTACCTGACCAGACCTGGTGTATAGCCCTACTGACGTGAAGCTTGGTGGAATTCCGAGCCACTTGCGAAGATGTTTGTTCACTTGCCTCTCGACTCCTTCCACTGCTGTCATAGGTACTTCATAAATTGTCAGTAACCACATGAGTCGTGGTTACAGACCGTGCTGGAAGAGCCCGGCCTTAAACTTTCCTGGCAGTCCTGACCCCTCGATCTTACTCAGCCATGCATCTTCCTGTTTCTCTGTCCTAGAAACATTGCATCTGTCGGTCAGGGATGCATCTTACCATTTCCCTAAGCACTTAATTGGGTTTTCCTCAATTGATGGAATCACCTCCCCCTGGACTCGCAAAAGGAACTTGCTGGTCACTTTCCCACTTCTGCTCACCATACTTCTTGATTTCCTTGGTTTGAACTTCATCCGAGTCCATGTTGCCACGTCATCAAGAGCCTTCAGGATCCATCTTGCTTGCACATGGGTTGAAGTTGTTATAGTAAGGTCATCCTTAAAGCCTCTAATTGGAGGTTGGCGGATGCCAGACTCCATTGTTGGCCCTCTGGATTCCTTTCCTGCAGCTGTTATGAGCAGGTTCATTCCCATGACAAACAGGATGGGGGAGATGGTACAACCTGTCACGATTCCCATTTCAAGGTCCTGCCACTGAGTTATAAACTAGGCAGTTTTGAATCGTAGTTATAATCATTCTCTGGCCATGGGGATGATAATTGTTGTCATACTGTTGTCATAAGACTTTTCTTCTCGGCTGTTCCTGCTAATGTGGCCTCAAGAACTCTGTCTAGGTCCCCATCTAGTTGGTTCCAAGCAGTATTGTTGTTAGCTTGGGGCCATCTCACTTTCTCTGACATAGGTTGAGTGCCTGATGTAGTGTTAGGAAAGTCCTTCCTGTGGCTTTGGGATGGAGCAGATGCTGAGAGGTCTCCTGTACTGTGGGGTGCTTCCTGACTGAGTCCTCCTGCGTCTCACCTTTTTAACATCCATCTGCTCCATGGCCCCCAATGTCGTTATTCTGGTTGATTTTAATATTCATATGGACAATAGTAGCAATACTCTCACAAAGGACTTCTCCTCAGCACTGGACAGCTTTGGACTACAACAGTATGTTGATTTTCCCACTCATAACAAGGTGTCGTGTAAAAAATTCAAGACGTGGGCCAGATAAGAAAGCTTGAACTTTTACCAACATTTTTATTAACAACAGGCACCAATTAGAATACAAAAGTTCCACCGGAGTGTGTCAGAGATCGGTGCAAAATAGAGCTCCATTCTGTTACCAGAACAGAGACCCGAGTCGACATGAAAACCATGTAACAACTGACTTTCACCTCCTTTTGGACCTCCTTTTATAGTTCTGTTTCTTGGCATCACATACTCTCTTGGCTCTCTTTTCTGCTGATCTGGAGCTGGGAAAGTCCCAGATGTTTGCGTGCCTCAGCCGCCACCATGACCACTGCTTTCCATCCTTTCAGCTGTTGGTGGATTTTTATAACTTTTATTTCACTATGACTGGGTGTCTCTCTTCTGTCTGTTTTCCAATCTTTCAGCACTTGGTGGATTTATATTTAACTATGATTGTTTTTGACTGCACTGCTTCTCCTCTCTGTGTCCTTTGCATGCCCTCTGCTGATCATACTATTTTAACCATAACCTGACTTTGTGGAATAAGTGCTCTGTGCTAGAAACAGGACATTCTTACTGTCATGGACTATATTGATGTATGTTTTGTAACACAATTTTCACAAAATCTGGTTCTACATTTTCCTTGGCTGGTATTTGTGGTGCTGTCTTGCTGTCTTACTGTGCTCCCTCACTCTGCTCCCAAAGCACACGTGCTTGCTTACACACACGTGCTACTGCTGAGCCTGGCCAGTTAGATACAGGAAGGCGCACACACACAGAGCTATAGAGTTTTAACACTGTGATCCTAACTTTACACTATAAAATAACACTTTAAATGATGAGAATGTAGACCACCATCGCTCTAATAATTAATGATAACAATTTAGGCTATAATGCTCTAAAATTATACACAACAAAAGGACACATCTTAGACCTCATTTGTTTCCCTGTTTTCCACAATTAATACGACCCCCGAATAATCTTCCACCCAATCTGTATTCAATTTCTCAGTGTGATAATTTTGTCATTTTTCAAAATTAAAATTGACAATATCCATGAACAGCTACCCACCTCACGTAACAGTGCACTTTATCCACCTACCTCTAATTTCAGCCCAATCTCCAACCTGCCATTTATCTCAAAAATCTTAGAAAAAACTGTTGCTGCGCAGGTCCATAATCATCTCATCAACAATAACCTCTATGAACAGTTTCAATCTGGTTTTTGGCCTCTCCACAGCACAGAAACAGCCCTAATCAAGGTCACCTACTAATGCTGCTGATGGTCTGGTCTTCTTACCATACTGATCCTTCTCGATTTAACTGCTGCCTTTGATACCATCTCTCACAACATCCACCTGGACCTACTTGTCCACCAAACCTACATCTATGCTCCCTCCGTCTTCTCTAACTGACTGCTTAGATGAAGTTAAAAACTGGTTCACTCAAAACTTCCTCAAACTTAACAGTGATAAAACTGAAATTCTCCTTGTTGGCTCCAAATCCACCCTAGAAAAATGTCCAAATTTCACTCTCCTCATTGACAATTGCACTGTCCCCTCCTCCTCCCACGTCAAGAGTCTTGGTGTCATCCTAGATAGCACACTTTCTTTTGAAAAACACATCAATAATCTTACCCGGTCTGCTTATTTCCACTCAATCGCCTTTGTCCTTTACTTACACATCATAACACTGCTACTCTCATCCACGCTCTTGTCATTTCCCGTATTGATTACTGTAACTAACTTCTCTCTGGTCTATCTCACAAGTTTATTCATAAACTCCAACTGGTCAAAAACTCTGGTGCCCGTACTATCACCAGAGCCCCAGTCTCTGAACACATTACTCCACTTCTAAAACAACTGCACTGGCTTCCTGTTAAATACCGTATTGATTTTAAAGTTCATCTTCTCACCTTCAAAGCACTCCATAATCTTGCTCATTGAACTCCTTCAGCCGTACACCCCATCCCGGGCTCTCCGATCCTCTCATTCCTCACTACTTTCCATTCCTTCTGCCTGCATGTCCACAAAGGGGCTCAGAGCCTTCAGCTATTGTGCACTTGTGAACTCCCTCCCTCTATTCATCCATACGACAGAGTCCCCGTCCTCCTTTAAAACTTTCACTCAAAACCCACTTATTTCGAAAGGCCTACCCCACATAATTCCACCTTCCACCAGCTTCATGATTTTTTAAATTGTTTTTCTCTAATCTATTTTATCTTAATCTTTAAATTGTGTCATGTTTTGATTTTCTTTGTTGTATTGCTTCCTTGAAATGTATTTTAACTGTTTTAATCTGTAAGGTGTCCTTGACTGCTATGAAAGGCGCCCACAAATAAAATGTATTAGTATAAAAATGACAAACCGTGGTTCACAGCCAAACTCAGACAGCTGAGGTTGGAAAAGGACGAGGCGTTTAGGAGTGGATACCAGGCCAGGCTTAAGGAGTCAGAGGTACAGGTTTAGCAAGGCGGTGCGAGATGCAAAACAGTTGTACTCAGAGAGACTACCAGTTCTCAAGGAAGGACTCTGTTTCTGTCTGGAGAGGCTTCAGACTATCTAGCTACAAACCTAAATCCCCCCAGTCCATGAACGACTCACGCCTTGCCAACGAGTTGAACCGATTTTACTGTCTCTTTGAAAGACAATGGGACAGACCTGACACCATCCTCTATCACACCACTGACCGGCCACAGTCCACCATCTCATCCCCCACCTCCTTCCCCTCTCTTACCATCCTGGAGAGGGACGTCAACAGACTGTTCAGGACGCAGAAACCACGCAAAGCAGCTGTGCCGGACTCTGTCTCCCCATCCACCCTGAAGCATTGCGCCGATTAGCTGTCTCCGGCACAGACCGGTCGCCCTGACATCTGTGGTTATGAAGTCCTTTGAATGCCTTGTGTTTTGTTCTGTTTCTTTCTTTCTTTCCCACCTAAAATCCATCACTGACCCACTCCTGGACCCCCAGAAGTTTGCCTACAGAGCCAAAAGGTCTGTAGATGATGCAGTAAACATGGCCCTTCACTACAACCCACCGGGATCCTGTTTGTGGATTTCAGCTTTGCTTTCAACACCATCACACCTGCTGCAGGACAAGCTCTCCCAGCTGAACGTGCCTGACTCCACCTGCAGGTGGATCACAGACTTCCTGACGGACAGGAAGCAGCATATTAAATCCCAGGACCTCAAGTAGGAGCTGAACATCACCTCCCTCACCAAGAAGGCCCAGCAGAGGATGTACTTCCTGCGGCAGCTGAAGAAGTTCAGCCTGCCAGAGACAATGATGGTGCACTTGTACACCGCCATCATTGAGTCCATCCTCACCTCCACCATCACCATCTGGTACGCTGCTGCCACTGACAAGGATATTGTCAGGCGGCAGCGCATCATTCGCTCTGCAGAGAAGGTGATTGATTGTCACCTTCCATCTCTTCAGGACTCTGAGGCGTGCAGGAAAGATTGTGGCTGACCCCTCCCTCCCTGGACATAAACTGTTTCAGACTCTCCCCTCTGGCAGGAGGCTGCGGTCCATCAGGATTAAAACCTCTCTCCACAGAAACAGTTTCTTTCCAATTGCAGTGTGCTTCCTCAACAAGGCCCGGGTCTTGACTTAGACTTAAGTAGAACACACTTGAAACTGTGTGGTGTCCCTAGGTCTCCAGAACTGGCCAACAACATGTAAATAATGTAAATGTGATCAACTGTGAGCAACTCTGTAATCATCAGTGTGTCGTTGCAGCTGGTTTCCGGCGTCCTGTGGTGCTGTTCGGCCCCATCGCTGATGCTGCTACTGACAAACTGGCCTCTGAGATGCCCGACCTGTTTGTTGTTGCCAGTGAGTCCCTGCCAGCCTCTTGCTGTCCATGTGTTTGTGTGTGCACATTTCCCTTCCTAAGTGAATAGATGTCCTAGGATTACTTCTAAATGACCTTTCCATTGTTTCTGTGTTCTCATGTTAGAAACCGAGCCGAAAGACGCCGGCTCTGAGAAGTCCTCAGGAGTCGTTCGCCTCAACACTATACGCCAAATTATCGAGCAGGTGCCTACTCATACACTTACAAACACACAACAAAAACTTAACCATAACCCCCCCTTCCTGTGAGTAATGAACTGATCAGAGCATAAACTGATCTTGCAGGTTTTTAAACATGTAATCCAAACATCACATCCATCAATGTATGTGATATGGCTCACACACGCTACACTTAAAGCCGGACTACATGGGCGCTAAGGTGTTTCTTTGGAAAACAAATATTCACGCAATTAAAGCTGTGGTTGTCAACCTTTTTTCGCCCAGCGCCGCCCTATCCATTATCCAGGTCCCTCGCTACCCCCCCATTCAAAGAGATGTTGGCTATACCCTGAATATTGTTGATTATTAGGGATCCAAGCAGTGAAGCTGCTGGAGTTTCTTTCTTTCTTCCTTTCTTCCTTTCTTCCTTTCTTCCTTCCTTCCTTCCTTCCTTCCTTCCTTCCTTCCTTCCTTCTAAAAGTGTTTGGGCAGCAAAAACTGCTGCAAGAAAACTCAACCAAAATTGGCAGGTGGGCTGCAAATTCCACCCACTACTCAGGCAAACAAAATGGCTCCCTTAGACCTCATGGTGACTTCTTTCATCATTCTAATCTCTGGATTCATCTGCATTTTTGCTCCAATGGTCTTCTTTTTATCTCTTTTCTTTAAAACCTACTTTTGTCAACTCGTCCCAGACGCTTTCGACAGTCGACCTGAAACTTTGGCAGGATCATCTACGGATATCGCTGATCAAAAGTTATCAAAAGAATTTATTTTATTGTTTTCATAAATTTTTACTTTTGTGTCTTCATGTACAGTTTTACATAAATGCCATAAATCAAAATTTGCTTAAGCTATTGTCACCAAACTTGACGAGTCTGCTCAGATGCTCGGTCCGAGCTTCGCTGAGCTGTCCTGGGATATTCTTCCACTAGGCTAGGCAAGGCAAGTTTATTTGTATAGCACATTTCAACAACAAGGTAATTCAAAGTGCTTTACATCAAACATAAAAGCAACAGGGAAATATAAAAAAGTTTAAAAGCAACATAGGGAAATTGAAAAAATACACATTAAAAAATAATAAGGTACAGTGCAGGGGTTATCAGGGTTAAAAGAGTTAAATGGAAAGTAAAAACAGGCTGAGGGGTTGAGCAAATAATTGAGTTACAATTATTTTGAAAAGAGAATAAACAGATGTACACTTAATCTACTCTCTCTAGCTAGGCCACTTTGATCCAGTTATACGCTGGACCCACCTGCGCGTTTACAGGTGGACAGAGGTTCCTGCAAATCACTCAGGCACGAGATTTAAGACCACTTCCTTCACTCTGTTCAGTCTCACTCTCATTATCTTTTCACTCAACTACCTACTCATTTCTCACCGTGTAAATATTTAATTAAAAGCAATGGTAAAAAGAAAAGTCTTCAGTCTTAATTTAAAAGAACTGACAGTTTCAGCAGACCTGCAGTTATCTGGGAGTTTGTTCCAGATATACGGAGCATAATAACTGAACGCTGCTTCTCCTTGTTTAGTTTTGACTCTGGGGACAGAAAGCAGACCTGCCCCAGACGACCTGAGAGGTCTGGATGGTTCGTAATGAAACCATTTAGTGCTTTATAAACTAACAGCAGGATTTTGAAATCAATTCTTTGAACTACAGGAAGCCAATGTAAAGACCTCAGAACTGGAGTGATGGGATCCACCTTTTTGGTCTTAGTGAGGACTCGAGCAGCAGCGTTCTGAATCAGCTGCAGCTGTCTGATGGATTTCTTAGGGAGCCCTGTAAGGACACCATTACAGTAGTCGAGTTAACTGAAGATAAATGCATGGATAAGGTTTTCCAGGTCCTGCTGAGACATAAGTCCTCTAATCCGTGAGATATTATTCAGGTTTTAGTAGGCTCACTTTGTAATTGTCTTAATGTGGCTCCTCAAATTCAGGTCTGAGTCCATGACTACACCAAGATTTCTGGCTTGATTTGGGATGGAGAAGGCTACCAGCACACTAGGAGGTTATTCAGGGTCCTGCAATAATGGTGAAAATGTGTTGCACACACGGTTGTTGGGGAGGTTTGTTGCTAACTCTCCCTTTCGCAGCTGTCCACGGCTGTGTCCTACTAAGAACAGGGGTTGAAGAGGCGCTCTGCCTGGATGATAATGTAGGCCAGCCAGTCGCATCACAAATCTCAGGGCGCTGGGTTCTGCCTGTTACTCGTCCTCCCATTTCCCCAAGAAATGATTTACTCTTAGGCTTTGCACCAAGAGCGTTCCAGGGAGGACTCCCACTCCCAGATTTATTACCCAGTACACAGGCCTCCTGCTTCTTGGTAGTCATGTTGGTGCTAATTAGCCGTGTGTTAGCATGCTCTTGTCCACTGTTTTGGGTCCACGGTAAAGTGGTGTCATTCCCACATAGTCCATTCACTTCCACATTCACTTCTAATCTGTGGTTCTTGGTTTCCAGCTCTACAATTTTCTGTAGAAGTTTGTAGAAGTCGGTGGAGAAGGGGGGCATCTTGTTGCTAATTAGCATTAATTATAACTCCAGTCACTGCAGTACAGGCTAGTGCTATTGATAGGCCGCAATCGTGTAGTACTAAGATCATAAAAGTTTTTAAAGTAAGACCCAACTTTATCTGACAGTCCCAGTGATTTAAAAGTATCCAAGAGCTGCTGATTTCTAGCAGAAAAAAAGAGTTTAAGCAGAAGAATGCAAGCAGAGGCAAGAGCAAGTAGCAAAGTGTCTGCACTGTAAGAAAGCAGGAAGCACTAGGGGGCACTACATTTACAAAAAGTTTATACCTCATAATTCGTTGCACAGATTCATAGAATTAGGGATCCAAGCAGCGAAGCCACAATGGGGTTGTGCAGATTTTAGAGAGACTAAGATCTCGTGACACTGTCTTCTTATTTTTCGCTTTAACTTTAAACCTTGGAAACACAAAATGTCGCAGGTGGGTTGAACATTTCACCCAGTAGTCAGGGACATATAATAACACTCTCTGATCTCAAGGTGATGCTGTAAAAATCAAGTTTGTGTTTCTGCAACTATATCAAAAATCTAATTATTTGATCACTTTAATCTCTCAAGTCATCTGCGTCTGTTCTTCTCTGAAAATGTCACATGTTGCATTTTTCATGACTTGCTTGGATCCCAATCATTGCCGCTTGCGGCTGTATTTATTATTACTGTTGTTGTCGTTACTATTGTTATTAAAAAAACATGAATGACTTTTCCAGGGGAAAAAAAGCCATGTGAACAGTAATTATATTTGTATTTATAAATTTTCTTGAATGGGGCACTTCCCAAGATTTTGAGCATTAAAGACTTAATTTCCTGCATTCTGGTGAAAATTTCTGCCTTTTCTACACCAATTTATGGTGGAAATGTTTTTATTTATATAAAGGGAAACACAAAATTCAGGTGGCAGGTGACAATTCAAAATAGAATAGAATGTAGCAAGACAATGCTTTTTAATATATTTCTCCTGTAGATCATAACAAGGCGTTCACGGTGTAATCCTCAGAGAAATGTTTTTAAGAGAAAGACATTTTTCCAAGGTAATACCAAGAAGAGTGTCCATTTACCAGAGTTTACACAGTAAACGCCATGTGGGTGAAATTTTACAGACAATACTCTGACTTCCTGTTCCCGTGAAGGTAGCACGGAGCTGCGCCACAGGAAGCTGACAGAAACACTGAAAAGAAGAGTTACGATACACACTGTCTCGTCCAGTCGCAGTGCCATGCAGGTTTTTTTGCAAGTAGTTGAAAGTTTATACCCGTATTGTTGTTGATCTGAAAGTTGCTACAGAGTTAAGTAACTCGGTGTACAGAGACAGTATACTATTTCACGCACAAACCAGGTAACTAGTTTAGGTTTATTAACTACAAACTAGACTCACAACGACTACTTAATACAGAACTACTGAACAAAAAAATACAATCATGAATTGCTAGGACAAAGGCTAAGAATGATAGACTAAATGCAACCTTTAATGAACACACTGAATACGGCATGAACAATCACTCCATTGATGATTAACCAAATTATTAATATGGTAATAGAGAAGGTTTATTGATAAGCAAGCACGATATCTTAAACAAGTGTACTGGAACGCATAAGTGGAAACCCAGAGACATGTAGAAGGTACCTTTTTAAAGGTTAAGTGAGTAATATTTCTGTGATGTGCAGTGGATAAGACACATGCCTTTGAGTGAGAGACCCGGGTTCAGTTCCCCACTGTGACACGTCCACCATTGTGTCCCTGAGCAAGACACTTATTGTAACCCCTAGTTGCTCCAGAGGCGTGTGACCTCTGACATATAGCAATTGTAAGTCGCTTTGGATAAAAGCTAAATGAATAAATGTGACAGAAATGCAATATAATATCCATGACTATATTTTCAGTGGTGTATAAAGACCTTACAAAATGAGCTGTTATGTTTTTATTACCTTAGAATGAGCCATTTCTATCTACATAACTGCAGGTCCCTCTTACATGGATGTCGGCATGTTGCACCGCCATGTTTCTACAGTAGCCCAAAATGGACAAACAGTGCTACAGAGCGTGTTTTGTCACTACGTTCTTCTTGTAGTATTCTGGCAGTGTAGACGCTCATCACTACACTGAATATGTACGTTCGAAGAAGAAGTAGTAATAATGTTGGGAGAATTGTTTTTTTCCCTCTTCTACAATTTAATTATAAAGCGAAATCACTCACAATTAAACAGTGTGTGTGTTCTGGTGTTTGATCTGCATCCATCAACCTACGGGCACTTTTTGATTTCCCTGTATCTCCGGGCAGAATACATTTAGGGGAATCACGTTTTCTGACGGCTCTTTCAGAGGTGTGTCAAGCAGGCTACAGACTCTTTTAATGTCTTTAAGAATTTTTTAAAGTTAAAGCTCTCAATTCAACTCAAAATAAAGCATTGCTGCCAAAAACATTCTTGCGCTTTTATTTTACAGGGAAAACCACAAAAGAGGAAGTGATTATGAGAGTAATATAGTATTTAAGTTAAAGAGTGGGAGATTTGTCAGGCCATTAGTTGTAAATAAAATCAGCAAAAGTATCAAGACATAAAGTAACCTAAAATATGGATAAAATGAACCCATTCCAGAATGAAGAGAAGTTCTGCACTGTCAGACAATCCACAGCTTCATTAGCAATGTTCACCATGACCTTGTATCCCTGTTCCTCACACCACACAGGACAAGCACGCCCTGCTGGATGTGACTCCCAAGGCAGTGGACACCCTAAACTACACCCAGTGGTACCCCATTGTCATCTTCTTCAACCCAGACAGCAAGCACGGCATCAAGGCCATGAGACAGAGGGTCATCCCCAACTCCAACCGTAGCGCCCGCAAACTCTATGAACAGGCCATCAAACTGAGGAAGTCCTGCTCTCACTTATTCACTGGTACAGTCAACACACATACAGAGATTCAGCCAGGTGTCTGTAGCTGTATATTTGCCCTCATTTGAGTGTGTATGCTGAGGTTGGATGGTTTTGTCGTCCAGCCACCATCGATCTGACCTCAGCCAACGATGCCTGGTACGGCAGCGTCAAGGACTCCATCAGAGAGCAGCAGATGCAAGCCGTCTGGGTTTCTGATGGCAAGGTAACCACACACACACAAACACACACACATGTTTATCTCACAGGCTTCCCTGTGTACTTCAGTCAGGGAGTATCAAGGAAGTGAATCCCCCGTAGAGCATGTTTTCAATTATACTGATGGGTGTTTTCATTATTTTGTCCACCCAGTTGTATCAATGAGGGTAGGTAAATAACAGAAGCACAAAATCATAATACAGTTGAATCAACATGTCTCTGCAGGGGGTTTCAAACCTACCTTGTTTGGTCCGGACTTTTGGATGCAAAACCTAAATTACAGACATAAACCTCCAACCAGACGGAATTTGGTTGGACAAAAAGAGGCAGACTCAGTCCGAACCATGGTTCTGTTTGTTTCTAGCGTGACAGCACTTTTTGGATGGTTCAGACTTTTAGTTCATTTACAGGAAGTTTTGTGGTTCCCGGGTAAACCGGAAACAAAGAGATGCACGGAGAAATGCGTTGAAATAAGGACACAATTGTAAATGGAATGTGGCAGCTCATCTTTTGAAAACAGACGGCCACTATGGAAGCACACTGCCTCATCTCTACCTCTCTCCCCAAACGGAGGTGCAGAAGGATCGCTTGCTGTCTTCTCCTCCTTTCCCGCTGGCGATGATATAATGTGGGCCTGCAGGTAGTTATGTCATTATAATAACAATATAGTGGCAATGATATGCATCTGTTCATTCATTCTTGTCAAAGCTACCCGCCGAACTGTGACAACACTCTGACATCAGACGCACGTCCGTCAACAAACTAATCAATGTCAAGTATAGGGAGACGCAGCCCACATAGATGATGACGACAGGCTGCAGGTCTGTCATGTAAAGTCCTTTAGTGCGGTCGCAGATTGGCAGTGTGAAACCAAACCAAAACTAACCGAATGGATCAAAATGGATCAAAACATGAACGTTGGTTGGGACCTTGGTGCGGACTTAAAGGTGTGAAAGGGCCCTAAAACAGTTTCATCACATCCTGAACATGGAGGATTTATTAGTGCATTTGTTGCAGCTAGGTACTTTGTTCCTATTCAGTCTCATTCGTCTATAGTGGACTGTTATAGTCCTTTCTCTCTGTCACCTTCATAGCAGCCACGTGAGTGTGCACTCTGCACATGTTAACTGTGTGTCTTCCTACTTCCTGCCATCAGTGCTCTACAGCTCGGCTCTGTTTGTCTTTCTTTCTTCTCTCTTGTTCTCGTGCTATCCGTCTGTCCATCCTTCCTTCCTGTACACCCAAGATCCACCATGTGTCTCTTCTAGCTGGAGGGAGTAGAGAGTGATCTGGACTGCCAGGATGTGGAGCGTCTGTCCTTCCTGTCCGCCATGTCCACCGACTACCTCAGCATGGACAGCCGGCTGACCTCCGACCTGGATGACACCGCCGATGAGGGCGGGGCCTACACCGACAATGAGCCCGATGTGGAGACGATGCACATCTCCGCCATCAGCCGCTCGTCTGAACCTGTCACAGCTGAGGAGGTCAGGGTCAAACACACACACACACTTCCATACAGCTAGTGTGCAACAAAATCCGTTTTTAACTTTGATTTCTTCAGGGAGCGGCCTCCGTGCTGCTCACTGTTCTGCTGTGCAGCAACCTCTGCCCCTGAAAATGTCTTGTATCAATGACAAAATTCTCCCTGTCTTTAAAAGTAATAGTGAAGAGAAGCTTTTTACTGAGATTATCTTCAGCCTAATCTACTCAGAGCTCAGGGTTAGTCACAGTTTGTTAAACCTGCTTTCTGAAACAGGGCTGTCGGTGTGAGTGTGTGTGAATGATTACTTTCTGTTGGCATGGTAGCCTCTGACATCAGTGTGTGAATGAGCCGCTTTGACTGATTTAAATGTTTAGTTTTGGAAAGTCAAAACTTTAATTGCGTCTAACTTTTGAGACAGGGTATCTGGGACAAATGTTTGGAACATCTTTCTAAAGAAGGTTGATCTGAAAAATGACCAAGGAGCAACAGTGTAAGATCAAACCCCCTGGTCTCCCCACCCACCCCTAGCCCATGTCCCTTTCCTTCTTATTTACCCCGTACCTCCCCGGGGCTGGACAGACGCAGAGAAACACATCAAATAAACATGTAAAACAAAAGAACAATAGCAGAACAAATACTTCTAATTCATCATCACCATCATAAAAATGCAGCTGTAATCCAAATATTTGAATACCAAATGCACACCAACCCCTATCACTGTCCACCCATCCATCCATGGACCTGTCCTGTGAACTAAAGTATAAATGTGTACAACAATGTGTGTATGTAGATCTTACGCAGGTACAGTCCAGACATCAGAAGTCGCATGAGGAAAATCAGCAGCAGCCAGGAAGTCCTCAACAGGTCCAGCCCTCCACCTGTCTTCTTACCAGACAGCAAGGTGAGGGGCACAGTCACTATATCTGTACTTTAATGACCCCCTACCTCTGGAAACACTGTTATAGTGTTATGGTAATGTCTGATCTGCAACTCACTTATCATCTGCAGGAACTCATCGAGGTCATGACGAACCATACTCTTTGTTTTCCTGCTTTAGAAGCAGTGCACTTTGTGTCACAGCGTTGGTGACAGAAGAATGTAGACCAGATTTCCTTTCTCATATGGAACCTTATATATCGCACACAAATAAAAGAAATCAGAGATACCATAAGATTGCTTACAGGGGATATTATACATGTCACTAGCATACTGCCTGTTCAAGTGTACAGAACAGTTCAGCATCATCAGCCAGTCTCCACAAACAAATGTTTTGTTAAACATTGTTCCCCAGTGGCAAACAGTAAGTATGACAACTTCTAACCTTCACATACAGCAGCTCTTTCCCTCCATCCAAAGGAACAAACTGCCCTTCCCTCTGAGGAGAAACCAATCTCACTGCAGTTCGGATTCCTCCAACGGACAGCAGCTTGTTGGACCAGATGGGTACCTAAAATCCCCCTCAGTTGTTGGTACATGGTGTGTAGCAGTGATCTTCTACCTTCATTCCAACAACACAGTACAGCAGCTGATATAGATGCTCACTGTTTGGCTAGAATGAAAATCGTCCCCTTCAGTTCTGTAACCACCACATGTTCTAGTGCTTTCCTCTTTCAAAGACAGAACTTTCAAGTCTGGTGTTTGAGGAATCCCACATTTTGTGTTTTTCACATGAGAAAATGAGAAAAAGGATTACAAACTGAAAAAATGCTGTGTAACATCAAAGAAAACCGATGACAATATAAACTACAACTCTTCCATCTATCCTACAACTGCTGACTTCACTCAGCCTCCAAACAGCACACAAATCTGATGAGGTCCGTGCTGCTTCAGCTTTTCAATGGTGTATATCTAAAACATAAAATACAGTGGAAGCACAAGAAAAAGCCTTGAGCCAGGGACTCACAAGGTGCTTAAAAGTTCGGATTATGTTATGGCCCATGTTATAAGATGTTTGATTGATTGATTGAAGCAGATCCCGTCATTAACTACCATTCACATTTTAAAGGTTCAGTGTGTAAGTTTTAGTGGCATCTAGTAGTGAGAGTTGCGAATTGCACCCCCCTCCCCTATCCAAGTGAGTAGTATAGCTACGGTGCCTGAAACAGGACAAAAGATGTCATCTGTGAGACAGCAGAGAGTTGCCAGTCAAGAAATCAGATTTCTTTACATTGATATATTAACTAATTATATTTACTTGATTATTCAGTAAAACCATATATTATGTTATGTATTGTGAATATTATTGTTATTTGTTCATTAAACAACAGCCACATCTAGAAATGAAATGTTCCAGGATGTCTCATCCTCCTGTAATACATTACTTTACAACTTCAGAGGGCTGGCTCATCTGGACTAACATACAAAGAAAATGAAGAACATCTCAAACACTATTCACTACTCGCCACTGGAAGATAACAGGACAATGTAAGCCTCTGTTTCTGCACCACAGTCCATTATAAACCACATAATACATGAAGTTTACAAAGGCATTGGCTGGTGAGGATCAAGGCTCCTCTCACTTTGCTTAATTAATCACATAACAATCTGAAAATCTTACCAAAATCTCTTTTTTTTTTAAATTTAATGTAGTGACGGCATCTACGCTGCCGGAATTATACAAGCAGAAGAAGAACAAAGTGACGAAACACGCTTTGTAGCGCTGTTTGTCCGTTGTCGGCTATTGTAGAACCATGACAACAAAATACGGCGACCTCCATAAAGGGGGCTGCCCGCAGTTATGTAGATAGAAATGGTTCATTCTAAGGTAATAAAAACATAACAGTTCATTATGTAAGGTCTTTCTACACCACTGAAAACATAGTTATAGATGTTATATTGCATTTCAGTCAATAGATCCTCAGAAATATTACACACTGGACCTTTAATGTTCACTTTAAATTTGAGCATAAAATACAAAATTGCAAAGAGAATGTGCTGGCTGTACGAACTTAACTTAATAGGAATATTTTCAGTGGTTCAGTCAGAAGTTCCTGGAAGCTCTAACATTGCTAATGTGGAGAGGAGCATGTGGAATCACGCTCGCCATACTGGAAGTCTAGACAACAGGAGCTGCAAACACCTGACTGCACTTCTTCCCATACCCCTGCCTTGCCATCTTACTAGCACCAACAGATGCAGCTATTTCTTTTATCCATTCTTTTATTTTCAGTCATTTTTTCAGGTTCTTTTCCCCAGTTTAGTTTTCCTGCTCCTCCTATAAGATCCCAAGGTGTTATGAAAAAGTGGCTCCAGACAGTTCATTCATGTAGAAGTCTAGAGGGACTCTCCACTATAAATAAAGAGACCCGTTATTGGCATGTTTCTGTCATCATAAACAAAGGTCTAGACAGCCAAGCTCTATTTTTTCCTGCCATTGGAACCTCATGCTCAGGTAAACAATTTATTTGCCCCAACTAGCTGATAGAAATCCACCTATTGCATTCTATTTGTTGCGACATTTCTAACATTCCATCCACGTGAAGCGCAAATTTGAACCAAATATACAGAAAATCGACAAAAGAAAATGCAATCATTGGGGGCACTGATTGTCCAGTCAGGGGCCATTAAAGCATGCAAGGGAAATATGGCACTCATGTTCGTTTGTCATAAAAGGCTTTTCCTCCAAAATATCCACGCACTGTTAGTATCTGTTCTGGCTCTAATTCTTCCCCTCCTTGGTCAGGTGAAACTGTCTTTGAAGGACAATCCAGTCCTCCTATCAGGCTCCATCAACCCACACCATCACCACCGTCAACACCACCCTCCAACCCCCAGCTCCAGCCAAAGTTACGATTCTCCCTCCAGCAGCAGCCCCGCCAGCAGCAACCATGACCCTCCACTCCCCACCTCCCATTCAGCTGTGTCCTCTGGCCGACTACCCCCACCTCCAGCTCACCACTTCAACTCCTGTGGCAAACTTCGGCCCCTGGGAGCGCCCAAGCCCAGCAGCTGCGGGAGCACAGCAGAGGCTGCGGTTCACTCACCCGTGGCTCTGCCCAGTGCGACCGTGGCAGCCTGTAGGCAACAGGAGGTGGCAGCAAAGGACAACCCTGCAGAGGATCCGGCCATGAAGTCCTTCCTGGGGAAAATCAAGGCTTTCGAGAAGATGGATCATTTCGCCCGAGTCCAAAGGATGCTGGAAGTGCAGGAGGCGCAGAATGCCAGGGTGGGCATAGCTCAGTTTTCCCATTGTTCAGCTGAGGTGTATTACACACAGCAGAAATCAGGGACACTTCACATCTGTAGGATTTTACAGATTGGTCACTTTCTATGCCTCTTTTTTAATGGTGCAATTACAGTAGCCAGCACTAATTACAAAGTGTGTAAGAGCACATCTCAGCACACGTTATTGTTGTTCATGCAAGTCCAGCACAGTAACATCTGGGATGAGGTCTGGAGTACATTTTTATAATTAAAGCTATAATAAGGTATGGCAGATTAGTAAATTTAATTGAAGGACTACTCTGCTGTGGAGCCCCCAGATTCCCAGAAGAGGAGATGATGATTACAGCACAACAGGATCCATACCTGTAGATTTTTTCATTCTTCAGCCACCATCACTTGAGGCTCAGCTCTATACAACTTATTTCACACGTGCGTCAGTGATGTCTAACACCTGGAAACACATACATGTGTAAAATACAATTCCCTTTTAAAACCATGTTGTCCAGACCTCATCCTCCCAGGTCTGGTCTCACTAATGTCTCACTGATGTCTGCCAGACACTAATTTGAGCTTCAGCTGAAGCTTAACATGTTTTACTGAGACTTATGACAGAATTTGAATTAGTTTGGATACTGCTCATAACAGACTTTAATCAATCCCTGTCAAATAAACATTAAATAAATAAACTAATCTGTTTCCAGTTGGAAATTGCTCAGAAGCACCCAGACATCTATGCTGTTCCTCTGAAGACAGCCAAGCTGGATCACAATCGCCTACAGCCCATCAGGTAGGATCACTACTGCCAAACGACTGTTTCCAAGCTCGGCTGTGAGTGTGTTTGTCAGCGTGTTTGTGTCTCTACAAGATATCACTGAAAGGCCAGCTGGAGAGGCTTGGATTGTCAGGGACTGTCCTGCTGCACATTGAGGGATCATAAATGAATTTCAGGCGCACACGTTCAGCCTAACCTCTATATAAAGTGCTTTAGATCATTTGGAAAACAGGTTTGGTGGGTTTGTTTCTAAACCGTCTGATCGTCTGGCTGCTCATTTTTCTTGATCTATTACTTTGCTTTAGCACTTATCACTTTAGTCACTGAGTTCCCAGATCTCAGCAGTTAACTGAATAGTACAATGACATCACTACTAAGGGTGCTCCGATCGATCGGTCAGCCATGGTAATCGGCCGATTATGGCTTTAACTAGTTTGATCGGTGGTCGCTAAAAAGGCCGATCAGATGCAATATTCATCAGACAAATGGTCTTGCTCATCTCATACTCATGCCGCCTGCTACCAGAGTTTGTCTTCACCCAGAGCGCATCAGGCACAGAGAGAGACTGATCCTTCGGTGTGAGTTTTTGATGCAGAGAGGCGCCACTCAATCAGCTGACTGCCTCTTGCTCTCTCTTCATTTTAAAAGGAAAACGCAGACCTTTTGCTGTGTTTCCACCTCCCAGATTAAAGATGTTTGTTTGAAAACGCTGCTGACCCCTTGGGCAAAAACAGAGGACTTTATAAAATGATTACACACGTTCACATTTGGCTTTGTGAGTCGGTCTTATCAGTCATGCAAAGCAAAACACGATGCTACTGACAGAGTTTTCGTTTGGTATTTTTATGAACATATACGTACTGTGTAAATAACACTTTTACTGTGCATGTTGCCGTAGTTACTTTGTGATGACTCCCAGTCTGTTTCCCGCCGCCACCGTCTCTTTGTACGCCCGTGTTAAGTAACCGTTCCACTTTGTTGTCGGTCAATGCAAAAAAGGTCTGTATTAATTTTTTCTTTCGCCAAATGTTCTGCAACTGCGGAGTAGACCATCTGCTTCATGTTTACACGGGCTTGCACATGCTCAGTGTACCTGAACGGCCACTAGATTAATATAGACAGAGATCAACTCTGATAGGCAGCTCAAACGCTGCTGTGGATGGAGAAGATGGTATTCGTTATCAAAATGTTTAACAAAGCATAGTGGTGTGGATGTAGCCTCACATTACCCTGCTCTTCTCTCTGCTCTTCTCTGCTCTTCTCTCTGCTCCTCTCTCTGCTCCTCTCTGCTCTTCTCTCTGCTTCTCTCTGCTTCTCTCTCTGCTCTTCTCTCTGCTTCTCTCTGCTCTTCTCTTCTCTCTGCTCCTCTCTGCTCTTCTCTCTGCTCTTCTCTCTGCTCCTCTCTGCTCCTCTCTGCTCTTCTCTCTGCTTCTCTCTGCTCTTCTCCTCTCTCTGCTCCTCTC